TTTACGCAATATTCTAAGGTTATACGTAGTCTTTTTTTTTTTTTTGAAAATGCTCTTATGCTTCTATGTGTAATTTTTATGTAGTTTGTAAGTGCTCGAATGTCCTGATGTTACGCTCTCTAAAAGAGTATTACAACACAGGGCGGCTGGCCTAATGGTAAGGCGCTTGATTTCGGCTTAGTTCTCAAGAGATTGCAGGTTCGATCCCTGCGTCGCTCATTCTTTTTTCTTTTTGTTTTCGCTTTTTTCCTCCATAATTCCTTCTATTCTACTTTATTTATGTCGGCTTTTTTGTTGATATTATCGGCTGAGCTGTGGCAACTTCGGAAAATTATATGCCATTTACCCTTTACCTCCAAAGATATATAAATAACTATTGAAATGTCTTCTACACATTTGAATCATTTTCCACCTGTTTCAGTCGTCTACCTATAAATCTTGAGAGCGGGAGGGTGGGGGAAGACATATCAAGTGCATCTAAAAGACTACCAAAAAGATATGACAATGCCGTTGGACCGGCTGACTACTATTGTCCCTGCTTATATATAGAAAAGGATCCTTGGTACGGGTTACAGTCTATGTATATATCTGAAAAGAATATTCAAAACCATGTTGGTGTGTTCTTACATATAATGCCCCTAAGCATGATCTTAGCCAAATTATCGCTATCATTTCATTTCCTAATTTATATTCACATATGGCCATATTCTAAGCAGCTAGGAGGGAACGGGCTACCCGTGGACGGTTACCGGCTCCAACTATGGCATTTTGCGAATGAAAACGTAGAAGCCCTCTTTTCTCTTAATTTCGCCCCTTAGGCGGAGCCCGATCCGTCAATACATCTAGAGTAAGGAAATCACCTAGAGTCATCTACATGTGTACATATGTAGTTTTTTTTTTCATTCGATAATTCCTTCTCTTCTATATTATTATGTCTATCTCCTTTCAGGTCATGAGTCGTCCACGGGTAGAGCCCCGGAGAGTTCGATAACTTATGTATTCTGGGCGGCTGGTCTAATGGTACCTAAGAAGGCGTCTGATTGCGGCTGAGCAAAGCTCAACAATGCTCAGAAAATTGCAGCTTTAATTTTTATCTTTTTCAAATTCTTTTCTCCATTTAATAAATTTCCTCTCGTCTGAGAGAAAGCTGTAAGAGAGATCAATCCTGTTACGTTGTGCCATCCGAACCGAATGACCAAGGGGAAGAGAGAGAAAAGGAGGAGGAGCTGTTAAAGTATTATAAGGTGAATGACTGCATGGAGACAGCATCTTTGCGTAAAGTGGACACGTGACCCTTCCGAGGATGGATCGCCATAGGAATCACTTGAGCTTCCCCTATTCTGCACGGGAGCTCAAACCACCGTGTTCTTTTTGGGATTGCTCCAGCATCAACATGGGCTTGGCTGTTAGTTCTCCCCTGAAGTAGTTGGCCCATGCATCAACACAAGTGGGATGATTCGCATTTCCCCACCATATGTGTCTTGAAGTCGGTCTCCTCTGATCCACCGATGAACAATTACACCATATAACAATTGCAAACTGCATTGTACTGTCTCGGTCCAATTCCCACAGCCCCAGCAATAATATAATCGAGCAAGACAACTCTATCCGCACCTTAGGTCGATCCTCGATCGTACTCGGAACAGGACAGAGAAACGGAACCAGGAGGCGTGGAACCCCACGAAATCTCCAGACAGCTGATCCAAACCCGCAAACCACACCAATTGAACACCACAATGTCGACCTCATTCAACTGGACCGCGTTAGCGGTAGCCATAACCGCAGTCTTCATATTCTGGACCTTCTCCTCAACCTCCTCCTCACCCTTCACACGGTCGTTCCCACGCCTCGAAAACAAGCGCATCTGCCTCCTAATCGCACACCCAGACGATGAAGCCATGTTCTTCGCGCCAACCGTGCTATCCCTCACCAAGCCCGAGCTCGGCAACCACCTAAAGATCCTCTGTCTTAGCAGCGGCGACGCAGACGGCCTAGGGGAGACGCGTAAACAAGAGCTCCAGAAATCAGCAAAGCAGCTCGGACTGCGCAGCGAATCGGACGTCTTCATAGTCGACGACGTGAGCCGCTTCCCGGATGGAATGGATAAGGACTGGGACGAGGGCCAGATCTCGTCGTTACTGGCCTCGGCTTTCGCGCCGGAAATGGCCGCGCAGAAGAAGCTGCCCGGCAAGCATGTCGATCATAATAAGGCCCCTACCGCTACTATCGATGTCATCATTACCTTTGACAAGCATGGCATCAGTAATCATCCTAATCACCGCTCGCTGTACCATGGCGCTGTGAACTTCGTCCGCGCTTTGATGAAGGATAAGGCGGGGTTCACTTGTCCAGTCACGCTGTATACCCTGACTACGACGTCGGTGTTCCGCAAGTATGCGGGTGTGCTTGATGCGCCGCTCTCCATGTTCCTTGGAGTCTGGAGTAACCTCGTCGCTGGGTTGACGGGCTCGAGGAAGAAGGATGCGGGGGCTGGAGCTGGTCCTGTGCGGCTGCTGTTTGTTAGCTCGATAAATGAGTGGTTGACTGCGCAGTCAGCTATGGTAGTCTGTCATAAGAGTCAGATGGTTTGGTTCCGGTGGGGGTGGATCACTATTGGGAGATATATGACTGTCAATGACCTTCAGCGGGAGAAGGTCTAGGTGGCTGGTCCTTCCTTGTCCCTGATTTGGAATTGCTATGCCCTGGATGAAGGGCTAGCTTCAGATCTGGGCGGCTCTTGCTCAGATCTTGTATCATTCTGGCTGGTCGCCATTTCTTGCGTTGATATCTAACGCTTCATGTCTGCATATGATTTCTCAAGGCCTATGTGCCTTGTTGTATACTTATCTCTACTATTCAACTTAGAAAGCTCATTTCTCGAGGGGATTTATAATGGACATACATGTCTTTCAGTGCGGAAAGAGCCCAGAGAAAAAAAAAAGATGAAGACAATAACCCTACTGCTCATGAAATCGTACAAATTGATATCATGCATCAAATGCTTTAAAATATACAAAAAGAAAAGCCCCGCTCATCAACACCAAGGATTGCCATCCCGCCAGAAGATAGAATTCTGGGGTTTAGCATCAAAGCCCAGCGCATGAATGCGACCATAAAACCCGGCAGAAGGATTATTCTCTTTCGACAAAGGATGATCTTCCGGGTAATCAACCCACGTCCTGAGCATTTTAAGCTTCTCCTTTAATTCTTTTGTGTCCTTGACCTGGAAGGAGTAGATGCGATTGAGCGGCGAAATGGACGGGTTCAGCTTGGGGTACTCATAAAGCAAGATTTCCCACAATATCCTATCATCGAGGACCTTCGGCTCAATCGGACGGAAAAGTTCCGACCCATCTGGTATCCGCCGTGCATGAATGCGGCCATGCTGGCTCATGTGGCGGCTCTTGGAGTTCGTTTCGCCTTGGAAATCGACTGTTCCAACCTCTCCGTCTCTATATTCGTACCTATTACGCTCTGGCAGAAAGTCTTTCCATTCTTCCAACAGCTTGGGCCGTTCTTGGAGCTCCCAGGCTTTGGTTGATATGCCATTCCACTTCTTTGTGATGATCATGGAATAGGCTATGCGCTGCATTTGATAAATCTGCTGGAAGACTTCGAGCCGGAGGAGATCGTATGTGTTGATGGCTTCGGCGAGCAGGGGACACTGTAATAGTGACAGGTCTGGTTCCACGCCATGCTTTCCTTGGTACTCGGTTGGATCCCGCACTTTCCTCCCACTTCTAGCCCTTGGTCTCATGCCGTCCAAGACTGGCTGCAGGCATTGCATAACGGCGTCTCTCGCTTCCTTCCTTTTTGCCCTCGTTTGGCTCAAGACATCATACGCCTTACGCATGTCTGCTTTGCAAGCCTCTAGATCGCCGTCTAGTTTATTGGTTTGGGTCATATATCGGTACATTTGCAGAGTCGCAGGGACATTGTATGGCTCCGTCGTCAATATCTGAAACACGTCGCGGACCATGTCTCTTGGGACTTGGCCTTTTCGCCCATCTTCTGCCTGTCTCCGCTTGTGTTCTTTGGAGAGTGTAAACGTCCTTTCAAGCAACTCGGACCAGACCTTGCCTGAAATGGTGATGTTGTACGAGGACGCCATAAAGTCGACTGTTCTCACGGCAGCATACATGTCGTTGTTCGTGCCAAAGGCATGGGCCACGGCGAAAAGTAGACGCTCAGTTGGGTACAGACCGGACCAAGTCTCATAGGGCGTAACCGGTGGCAGCATCGAGTCATCCGTTTCAGTCAAGATGGCATCAACATCGACGTTCCATACAGTCTTGAGGATATTCTTGGTAGCTTCCGTGTCGCCAACTCGGGCTGCTGCGAGGAGGATATTGATGTATGTCTGTTCATCCCCACTAAGCCCGTCCTGACTCATTTGGCTGAATATATCCAGCACTGTTCCTTTGACACTGTTCCACGCCGTTCCATAGCCACGCCATCCAGGGTTCGGATCTACCATGCGCCGCTTTTTGTAGCTGTGAGGGATCATGCGAGTATTGTATGCTTCTTTTCCCACATAACAGTGGTTCCAGACCAGTGCTGCCATGTAGTGATTATAGCACGCTGTGTCGGGAGTAACATCGTTGGCGTACATCCCATCCCAAAGGGCATTGACTAGGGGGCCATTTCCCATCGCCTGAGCACAGTCGAAGAGGTGAGTGTATTCCGCTAGTCGGGGTGGGTACCCAGCCACGGTTCTATACTGAATGATCGTGAGCAGGTCCTTCGTAAAGTCATCGAACACCGCTTCCAAGGTCTTGAGCCCTAGCATTAACACGCCCCACCCGTGCAGCGTATGGTGGAGATCTCGGTAGGGTATCACGAAATGAGCTGGAGAGAGGAGGCGGAAGGCTTCAATAAACACGGTTGGCGGCAGCGCTCCAACCAGCTCTACCGACCGTGGATCGGCCATGGCTTCCCTCACTTGATTCGGTTGTCCGTTTTCAATAACTCGGAAGAAGTTCGCTCTATATCGCGCCTCCTCTTCGGGTGAGCTCCATTCCGGTAGGGGCACTTGAATTTCCTTTTCGAAAGTTGCAGGACGTGGAACAGCGAGTTCGCTGTTCCGTTGACTTGTTGTATTCAATTGCCGTATGGAACTGCAACGGTGGGTTTGTCGCGTTCTTTGTGCAGAAACATCCCATGTCTTTGTATTTGAAGATATTGCGAGACAAGGTATTTGCCTCAGGCGACTGAGATAACGGTGTGGGGGAAATTGCCTGGGTTTGACGATGCCGTCCCCAGGCCGAGACGAGACGAAGCGAGAAGCGAACTTCTCCGTAAGTGAGAACCTTCGCATGGGGAAATTGCAGTAAGAAAATTAGTGTTTGTCAGGAATCAAAGGAAAAACAAAGAACACAAAATTACCAGGGGCCTAAATGAGGGGAAGGTGCGCTTCGACCCCGGATCTTTTGACAGGGTACTTCATGCAGGTTGTGCTTCACAATAAGCACAAGACCCCTGCACAAGTGATTAGGTGAGACTTGTCTAGGATTTGATATTATATCATTATAACATGTTGACAACTTATACTATACATGTATAGATATCCAATTGCTCCATTGCTCCATTGCTCCACCACAATACCTGCCGAGATCCCATGTGGATACTTGGAAACCTGAAACCCGGGGTAAATAGCTGACTCATCACATTCCTTACCAAGGCCGACGCTAAACCAAAATAGGTATCACCCGAAGCTCGTTGATTCTGCGTGTGTGTGTGGACCTGCACTTAACCCAATCCAATCATCCTTCTATCATGGCCGACACTGACGATGCTGGCGGTCCATCCGTCTCTGAGCCCCTGGATCTTGTTCGTCTCTCTCTCGATGAGACCGTTTTCGTGAAGCTGCGCGGTGACCGTGAGCTCAAGGGCCGCCTTCATGTGAGCTACCCCCCCACATCGCAATCTTTAGGATGACTACTGACTATGATATGTCTCTATAGGCCTATGACAGTCACTGTAACTTAGTCCTCGGCGATGTGGAGGAGACAATCTACGTGGTGGAAGAGGATGAGAACGAAGAGGAGACTTTGCGGGTATGGGATCATATGAATCTGGGAAATTTATACAGGCACGGGCTAATCTGGGTTCTCGGATATAGACAATCAAGAAACAAGAAGAGATGCTTTTCGTGCGAGGTGAGTCGGAGGAACCATGCAATGTTTTGAGTGGGTTGCTGATTCCTGTCTAGGAGACTCCGTCGTCTTGATCTCCCCCCAGGCATGACGGGCTTCATATGCCCTTGATAGAGAGACAGGCGTCCGGCGATGGGAACGATACTAGGAAGGACACAAGATACCACAAAATGCAGTCAACATAGATAGGTAACGATACCATGGAAATTGGTTTATGATCATCCATACTAGTCCCGTTGGATATAGCTGGATATAGCCTGAGCAGGCTGTGCAATTGTTGGTCACAGTATTCCTTATGATTCGATATTCTTAGTAGATTTATATTGAGTCACTGGGTGAAATGCGGCTCATATAGTCCTCCAGGGCTAGGCAGGTCGATGACTCAAGTGGTGACTCCAACTTTGGAACTTATCGATAAAGCGCCCCCCATCGCCCCCTACCATGTACTCTCGAGCGGAAGACTTCTTTAATTATTTACTTTGTTATCCTTCTATCCTTTGTTCGAAAAGAAAACTATGATCACTCGAATACAACTTCACATCCGCCAACAGTAACGGCGATCCGATCCACCGACCAATAACGTCACTACCCCAAAAGTCGGCACAGCGATCAGTCGACACGGTTGAACTTAGCAACTCCACACAATGCCTGCAACCGGGAAACTAAGCTATGAGGAGCGAAAACGAGGTGAAGTTGTATGTGTTTCCAGGGGAGATGTGATAAGTTCCTCGTCTTACATGATTACGAACTTAGGCTCTCAGTGAATTCGCCGAGTATGCCGAGCAACAGCAAGCCCACCGCTCCGCCCAAGTCGCACCCAGCGACAGCGGATATTCCACCGCCAGTGTGTCGCGCGATCTTGAGGACCATGCAGAGCTCGACATTCTCGACCAGCTAGGGCTGTCCGATGCCCCTCAAACAGCCAGGCTTAAGGAGCTCCTTCTCGGTACAAGCGATGCCATTGAAGACAGCCTGCAAGTGCTAGCTGGGATATTACAAACACGCATTGATGAAGGCCACGGGGAAACCATCTTCGATCTCGGGTTGGAGGATGGTGGGGAATCCATGGGCTTCGACCTCGATCAATGGAAGACGGCGCTACAACGTCTGCGCGAAGCGGCCGAGACCATCCCCGCCCACTGCCGAGTATTGCTGACCTACAACGTCGGAGGCCCCGAAGAATCGCCTGTTACAAATGACCGAGTACAGGGCGCTTGGGGCAAAGTCCTCGTGCGTCACCACGCCGATAAGATAGAGGAGATGGCGGAGCTCCGGATTGCCGTAGTGGGGAATGTCGATGCTGGAAAGAGCACTATGCTAGGAGTGCTGGTGAAAGGTGGTCTTGACGATGGACGCGGTCGTGCGCGAGTAAATCTGTTCCGCCACAAGCACGAGATCGAAAGCGGGCGTACTAGCTCCGTCGGTTTGGAGATCATGGGGTTCGACAGCCGAGGCGAAATAGTCGGCAATTCGCAGGGCCGGAAGCTCTCCTGGGAAGATATCGGGAAGCGCTCTGCTAAGGTCATCTCCTTCTCCGACTTGGCAGGCCACGAGCGGTATCTGCGCACCACTGTATTCGGTATGCTGAGCAGCAGCCCCAATTACTGTTTGCTGATGGTCGCTGCCAACAACGGTCTTATTGGAATGAGCAAAGAGCATCTGGGTATTGCTTTGGCCCTCAATGTGCCTGTCATGGTCATTGTCACCAAGATTGACATTTGCCCGCCTCATATTCTGCAGGAGACCTTGTCCCAGCTGACCAAGATTCTCAAATCGCCTGGCGCGCGCAAGATTCCAATATTCGTCAAGGATATGGAAGAGACCATCAACACGGCCACGCAGTTCGTCAGCCAGCGGATATGTCCTATCTTCCAAGTGTCCAATGTTACAGGAGAGAACCTCGACCTAGTACGGACCTTCCTAAATATTCTGCCCCATCGTGGACAATACGACGCGGCGGGAGCCTTCGAATTCCTGATCAACGACACCTTCTCTGTTCCTCATGTGGGTACAGTTGTCTCGGGTGTGGTCAAGTCCGGTGTCATTCATGCCGGAGACTCGGTTATAGTGGGACCAGACTCACTCGGCCAGTTCACCACCACAGTCATCAAGTCCATTGAGCGCAAGCGTATCCAGGTGAATGCTTGCTTTGCCGGCCAATCTGGTTCTTTCGCCCTGAAGCGCGTCCGCCGGAAGGAAGTTCGTAAGGGTATGGTAGTGTTGAAAAAGATGGAGGAGCCTCCGAAGGTGTATCGGGAATTCGTCGCGGAGGGTAAGATGCCCCATTCGGCTTTAATGACAACATGCTAATGGAAATAGTCCTAATTCTTTCTCATGCAACTACCATCAAGCCCAAATACCAGGCCATGCTTCATGTCGGGGCAGTCAGTCAGACATGTTCAGTCATTGATATTGATCGCCCTTTCATTCGTACTGGAGATCGAGCGTTAGTCGCGTTCAGATTCGTACAGCGTCCTGAATTCTTAGCCCCCGGGGACCGTGTCCTCTTCCGTGAGGGCAAGACAAAAGGACTGGGAATTGTCAAGAGCATCGGTTATGACCCAACACACCCGTTGAACCCAAATGCAAAGGAGGGAGGTTCCACACCTACACCTACGATACCTCGTGATTAGATCTCTTTTTGCTTTACTTTCTAGTGACATGTGGAGTTTCTTTGTTCTGCTTTCTTTGTTCCTCTTGGGGGCTTTTTTCTTGCTAAGCGTTAGATATTCAAGGTTAGCCCCCTTTTTTTTGTCCGGACTGTGTTCATGTTTACCCTGTTAATATAATGGTGAATTGACTGCGAGGCGATTATATCAGTTCCATTATTACTCCATACCTTTGTATTTATTTGCATCTACTTGTTGCTCTTGCGACTTGTAGTATGAGGTCACATGGCATATATTGCATGACGTCACTCTATGACATAGGCCCTGAGGATCGCCGCTCTCTCGACAAGTCTAATTTATATCACTGGATTATCATTCGCAAGCCATTGAACAATCAGTCCACGGGTGGAATCAAATGGGGTCTTATGAAAGACCGGGAATCCATATGCGAGCCGTGGCCCAGCACCACTGACGTATTGAACAAGGCCGCTTTACCTTGGGGGTTCTTTAAACTTGACCTGTCCAGAGCTTCCAAGAATTCAATCCATTCGCCACTTAAATTTCGAGCCAACTACGCGGTATCTCACGTTACTATTATCATCTTCCTTTGCCCAATATACCTCGTCTACCGTCCTATTATCCTCTATATCAGACTCGCACCTTTTATATCCATTCGATCATTTAAACTATACCACAACGATCCAACCATGGAGACTGTCAACAGATACATCAACGCTGCTTCAAATGTGATTTGGGGCGAGAATGGCTCCCCTCACGCCCAACAGCACGGCGAAGAGCCCGTCTCCGGTGTGCAGGGCAAAGGACAGGCCACAGATCCCTATGATGGCGGCAACCGCGATGGTAAGTACTTCGGCATATCAATATCTAGATTGCCTTGCCACAATACTATCTACCGGTGGACGTTCCCAAACAAGTAAATATCCAATATATCTAACACCGCGCTCATCCCGCAGAACAACCCGGCGCAATCCAATCGGACATCAACACGGCACCTCTGGGGCCCATGATAAAGAGCAGGCATGCAAAGTCCCAAGGAACCGAGATAACTAGCATCACTACACCCCGCCCCCCCACATCTATCAGTGCCTGCACCAGCGTCACCCCCGCTCTGGACATCTCCGGTGAGCTTACCACAGCTAGCGAAAGCAAAGAAAACAAGCCTATCTCTAGCGGCTCTACAGGAGCCAGCGGAAGCAATGACGACAACACCTCCAAACAAGAACAGCGCAGCACCTCGCAAGCTGAAGGTGGTGAGAGCAGCGAAGCTCCCCGCCTAGCACGTCCTCAAGACGTGAGCAAAGAGGCGCTCCAGGGCCCGCAGGGTCCTCCGCCGAGGGCTGCTGAGAACTTTGAGAAGGATTATAGAGCCGAGAAGTTTGCAGGTAGGGATGAGGATATTGAGAACGGTATATTTCCCTTTTCCTATACATCCTTCCTGTCGTAAATCTCTGACCGTATTGCTTAGGTCGGTCTGACGTTTTGTTATAGGTTCTCCAAATGAATCTAGCGGGAAGAGCAGCGGGTTGCCTTCTAGCAACAGGTCTGAGCCTTCTTCTCTTGGTAGTGAGAAGAGCGGGGGGATCTCGAAGGTGAAGGAGAGCGTCAAGAGACATCTCCACCACTCGAGCAAATAAAAGGAGTGCCTTTGTTTAGATTTTGATCTGATAGCAGTTTTGCTTGTGAGAAGCCTCAGATATCTTGACTTGGAAGTCTGGCTGTTTTTTGATGTCTATATCCTGCGGGCATGTTTATCTGATACACCTCATGTCTGATTTTAACTGTATTAATATCCAAATTCTACTTCAATTATCCGAACTCTTCCTTGTAAATATTGATGTAAAAGTCCGAAGAAAATTAAATTTCCAGGGCTATGAGACCGAAATCCAATCTCTTATCATCCACACGCCGGAGCAGGGTATCCCAAGTGCAGACGGAAGCAACCAACCATTAAGTCATCGAAACACTTATTCGAACAACATTTTCAACTCTTCAAGTCTATCCTTCCCTTTATCAGCATCACCATCATCGCCGCCAATCTTCAACCCAAGCGAGCCAGCAATGTTCATTTTACGCTCTTGCACGCGCAGCATGCGGCCTTCTATGGAATCCTTTACCACGAATCGCGTCACATTGACATCACGTGTTTGGCCCATTCGATGGACGCGGTCGATGGCTTGGGCTTCGATTGCGAAACTCCACCACGGATCCATCATGAAGACATTGCTAGCGGTTGTTAGGTTGAGGCCTACACCGCCGGCACGCAGGGAGATGAGTAGGACTGTAGGGGCTGGTGTTGACGGCGAGGGAGCGCTAGTCTTTACAGGCCCGCTTGTCCCTGGGCTATCATCTTCCATGTCGACGATGTCATCGTCGGTAAAGCTCTCTGCTTTTGTGAACTCGGCTAGAACAGTGGCACGGGCCTTTTGGGGCATCGAGCCATCGAGGCGGACATGGGAGATTCCGACTCGGGAGAGTTGTGGGCCGATCAGGTCCAGGAAGGAGGTAAACTGGGAAAAGACAACGGATTTGGTATTTGGAGGGATGCGTCCAAGGTGGGCAATAAGGGCGTGGATTTTGGCTGAAGTGTGAGCGGAAGGAGAGAGGGGGTATATGCGACGGAGGGAGATTCGTGGGGCAGGTTGAGAGCTGGTTGGCGCCGTGCTGCTCACAGTGTCGTCTCCGAAAGAAATTGAGTTTGATGACGGATGCCGCACTACTTCGAAGGTGTTCTTTGCATCTACTGGTGCACGGCAGTTGAAGCACCGTGCCTCGACGCCCTTGTTCATTTGATGTTGCAAGAAGTCTTCGAGGCATTTCTTGCACGCACTATGCCAGCACGCTGTCACCGCAGGATCAACCATAGGCTCTTCACAACAGATAGGGCACTCGCCGCTGGACTCGGTTTGGATCTGCCGAAGGGCATGGGTGGTGAACTTATCCATCGTCCCGGAGGTATCCTGAGAGTCGGCATTCTCATTCTCCGCCGTGAATTGGTTGATCAGTTCTTGAAGATCCATATCATCTTTGAACTCATTGGCTGCATCAGCCGCGACCGCCGCACTCTCTTCTTCCGCAACGATGGCTTTGTTCCGTGTCATTATAGGGTGGCAGCAGGTCTGGCGGAGACGGAGAATTTGAGCAAATATTGTGCTGTAAGACTGTAACAGTGTGCCAGCCACGACATTGTCGTTGTAAGTTCGCTTAGCCCGGGTAAATATGCAGTCGTAGATTTCTCGTTCTTGCTTCGGTAGCTCCACTTCCTCAATAGTGATTGTCTTTTTGGGCAAGGGGACCAATGGCTGGCCCTCTGGAGTTTTCATCGATTTGGTCCGCCGAAGAACCAGAGGTTCCAGTACACTTTGCACGACGTTCAGGGCCCGCACGTATTCTTTAGATTCGAAGGGCACAGTGATAAACGTCTTCCAGAAGGAAAAATTGCTCCATGGCTCCACTTTCAGGAAACGCACCAGACTGAAGAGATCCTCAAGGCGATTGACAATGGGCGTGCCAGTCAGCGCCCACCGATGGGCTGCCTTTAACTCATAGCATGATTTAGCAGACTTAGAACGGCGATTCTTGATCACATGGGCCTCATCAAGAATTACTCGGAAGAATTCCACAGAGAATAGACCCCCATTTGCACTGGGTCCTAGAGCAGACTGGAGAGCGAGCTGGCGGAATTCCGACAATACCACACCATAACTGGTGATAACTACCTGTGGAGCCGTTGCATATTTCGATTCGCAGCATAAATCTCTCAAGTTGGCAGCCTTGTCCGACCCATAATAAACAAGGACTCTCAGCGTCCCGGCTTTGAGTGCCTCACTTTCCCATTGAGAGATTAAAGATGTCGGTGCAACGACCAGAGTAGTATACGGCGCAGGCACCACCCCAGAAGCGTTCGGCATCCTAGCAAGGTCATTCACTGAGTTGAGACCATTCGAAACCCGGGGATCAGGTTCGACTCTGTGCGAATGTACCAGACTGAGCATCTCAATGGTTTTCCCCAGACCCATTTCATCAGCCAGGATTCCGCCTCGGCAGTGTTGCTCTTGAGCAGGAAAGTCAACACTGATGTCCCCCGAATACGGGTTGACATAAAAATGGTCAATGTTCTTAACTTGTGGTAAATCTTTGTCGTCAACATTCTTTCTGGGCCAAGTGTATTCCTCCCACAACGGATGCATTGACTTCTCTCGAGTTTGCTTTGAGTCTTTCTCTTTTGACAGCATCCAATAAAGGGCCTGTTGCTGGTACTTGCGCAGATCAAGGGTGAAGCTAGATGCTGGATCTGCCGCTGGCATGTTGAAATCGAATGATTGGGCTTTTTGATACAGCGTATCAAGCTGATCTTCTTCCAGTTCTTCGCTGTCGTCCTCGCCTGATGAGTCGTTGGAATCCTTGTTTGATTTCAGTTTGTCCTTTTCCTTCTTTGTGTTGTCATATTGTTCTGCAATTTCGGCGGCACGCAGAATGCCATCTCTTTTGTGCTTTTCTGTAGTTGGGTTGGTCGAGGTAGGATGAAGATTGATTTCGTGAAACAATTTCACTAGACCGACTTGGCGTAGTCGCAGATTCTTCTCCTCCGTGCTCTCCTTCTCTTCAAAAAGTCCAGTGGACCTGTTGTCATCAGTGTTCAAAGCAGCCAATGCCCCGCTTTGAAAGGCTTCTTTTCGCAAGTAGACTCGGAGTTGTAAATATATAGTATCATTGACTCGCACCCTGTCGGGCACGAACACACAGACTCCTTCAAAGCGACAGATCTTCTGATCAATCAGCGTAGAAACCCATTCAGCAGTCTCAAGTGGCAGCCTTCCGATTTCTTGCCCAGAGGTGTTCGTGAACCGAGTCAGAACATCACTTTTGTTATTAATAAATGATTTGCCTCCTCGGCCACGTTTCATCGTTGGCTGTGAGCGAGCGCGTTCGATGTTGACGGGGTCCCCATGCTTGAGAAATCCAAAGCCACTTCTCGTTGCCCATGCTCCCACACCAAATGCGCCAACATACCTTGCTGGTGGCTGATGTCGCAGTACCGATTCATTTTCAACTGGCGTCTCAAGGCTAGGCTGTACCAGAAGAGCGGGTTTCCGGCTTCTGGCCGGGACGTTGCCATTTATCTGCACAGGCTTCTTCCATGATCCATCAAAGTATATGTTTACAGCTCGCTCGAGATTATTGGAAGCAGCTGATTGAATGATTTTGATTGAATCGGCAGGTAGTTGCTCTCCCACGATACTGGTGAAAAGGTCGACATCGAAGATATCTGGGATTGTGTTTGTTGCAGTTGTATTGATAGTCACTTCCTCCTCGATTTGTCGGTCTATTCCATTCTGGGGAGGAGAAGGAGTAGGCGCAGCGTCCGCAATGGGTAACCCTAGGCTTTCCGTCGTTTGAACTCCTGTATGCTGCTGATCTATTTCGTCTTCCAATCTAGGAGAGCTTTTTGGGATGCGGTCAAGCGACGGAGGCTCGAGTGTGGCGACATGATCCGTACGATACTCGTGTTCCGGGCAATGAGCCAAAGACGCGTCTGTACCTCGCGGTTTGGTAGGTAAAGGTGAGGATGGACTGTCAGTGAAGAAACGCTGCCTCTTTGATGGGCGTTGCTCTACATCCTCTCTCATATTGGCTGCACCATCGAGCTTCGTGATGAAGATGAAAAAGAAGTCGAGTCCGGGGAGACGCGCCGAGAAACGCGAAGTCAGGTGGATCGACGTCAGCCCTGAAGGGGAAATGTTGTGAATTGGATTTCGATATCTGCGCTTTTCAAGACATTTAAGTCCTCATTCTTTGCATTTCTTTATTTTGCTCCTCTTTATTATAATTTACTGTGATTTCTAATATATTTCTTTCATTTCCAACGAGCCTACCTGCTGGTTGTCCAGGTATCGCTGACAAAGATCGGCCGGCCAATGCCTTTGCCCCGATTACATCAAATATTTTCCCCAGAGCCTGTCAACTTCACATTGAACATGTCTTCTCTCGGGACAGCTCGGCCATGCCAGGCAAGTAGGGCCTGCAGATTTTACTTACGAAGCTTCCAATCACAAAAACGACACTTCAGCCGGACACAATCTATTGCCGCACCCATTACCGCAGACGAAGTCCAAGGCGCTCACCAATACTGCGTTGCTCTTCTCTCGTATGAAACACCGTCCTTATGGCCCTCCAAGCCCATCGAAGCTCCGACGATGGAAACAATTCAGAAAGCTAACGTACTCCCTGTGCTTCCAACAGAAAATATGACCGTCCCTCCTACACACTGAGCACCTTCATCCCCCGACATGCGCAATCCTTCTATATTGCGCTGCGCGCCTTAAACGTCTCCCTCTCCATGATCCCCGACACCACCTCCTCCCCCACAATCGGACTGATGCGGCTCCAATTCTGGCGCGACTCAGTAACGAAGATCCTTGCCGGCACGCCACCAAAAGAACCCGTCGCTATCTTGCTTGCATCCGCCATCTCCGAACTTCACGAGCGCACGCAGGGCCGCGCGCGGATAAGCAAGGGCTGGCTGACCCGTATAATTAACTCGCGGGAGCAGACCTTAACAAACGACCCGTACCCAAACATCGCCGCGCTCGAGTCCTATGCTGAGAATACATATTCGACGCTCATGTACCTCACTCTGTCGGCATTGCCCATGGCTTCGGTAACTGCAGACCATGTTGCGTCTCATATTGGAAAGGCAGTGGGGATCGCGGCCGTGCTGCGTGGACTGCCGTTTGTTGCGTTCCCTGCGCCGCCTGCTCAGGCACCTGCTGGCGGGCCTGCGGGTTCCGTGATAGGAGGGGGTGCGAAGCAGGGGGCCGTGATGTTGCCTCTAGATGTTATGGCTCAAGCTGGCGTCAAGGAAGAGGATGTCCTCCGATATGGAGCCCAGGCCGAGGGTCTCCGGGATGCTGTCTTTACTGTTGCGACGCGAGCAAGCGATCATTTGATTACTGTGCAGCAGATGTTGAGCAACCTCCGCGCTGGGGAGGATGTCGGTCATGACTTTGAGCATGAGGGCGAAGAGGGCCATGAATACGATGTTTCCTCTGGTGCTCGGAGCGGCGAGTCACCTCTCGATGAGGTCAACCGGGCATTTGGCGTTTTCCTGCCGGCGGTCGGCACACGCCTGTGGTTGGATCGCCTTGAGAAGCAAGACTTCGATGTTTTCAGCCCGAGTTTGCTCCGGTCAGACTGGAGACTTCCGTGGAAGGCTTACTCGGCCTATCGACGGAAATCTCTGGACTGATGGCATGTAGGCCGTGTATAATATGTGTCTAATATACTTCGGTATTAAGAAGACCAGTGGTGACTTCTTTGTACATTAGTAATATATAAAAGTTGTCATGATGTGAAGTGGAACAGTGAAATATGCCTACCCTCCTCGTACGCGAAACCATATTATCAATCGACAAATAATGTTATTGAAACAGTGTTCAAGTGAAAGGTACTAATATAAGACCTGACTAGGTCTGCAAGCAATAAAATGTATACAAATAATGAAAAAGCCTCAAGCCAAAACACCGGACGCCCGCAACATTTTGGTACAATAATAGGACACTGAGCTGTAGGACGTTCAGAATCTATTTCTTTTTCCTCTCTCTTCTCTGCTTCCTTGAGCTGACAATCAAGCGTCGCTGAGCGAGCATGACAGCGTAGCGTTGGATTTTATCTCGCCTAAAGACATAGGTTAGCACCGGCTGTTTTCGACGGGAATACCAGAACTTACATTAGGAGGAAAATCGTAGCGCAGACAAATGGTACTGCAATCTTCCAGAAATATCTACTCGAGTCAGTAATAAGTCCAGAAGGAAAGTGTCAAAAGACATACCCTTCATTGTTTTCGATTGCCCCGAAACGTGTGAAGTTCATTCCGAAATAACCCTAAAACCGTCAGAGAAATCTCCTTCATAGGTTCAAGCCATACAATACATACTGTTAAGAACGTCATAGGAAGATAAAGACAAGTCACAAGAGTAAGCTGCTTCATACTTTCGTTCTGGTAAGCACCTGTGCAGCATATTAGTTTGATTTCGACATGACTTATCAAAAAGATTCAACATACCAATGGTATTGAAAATGAGGTCAATCATGTTATCAGCGTTGCGCCGCATCTGATCGTACCCTTCAACAATGGTAATGCAATGATCTAGGGCATCGCCCAAATATGTATGGCACATAGAGCTGATCGTAACAGTTGTGCCTCCAATACTCTTCAGATTTGGCGTTACAGTGCCGACATGCGGGCGAGGATCAATAGGTTCCGCAGGAGTCACACATGGGCTAAGCGGATTCCGCAAAACACCAAAGCCTGGTGTGCCGACAGGTTCAGACCGGTGGTCACGAAGAGCATTAATCACAGCGACCATAGGCTGCATGGAGTTCCGCAGAACAGCAATCTCAGACGTCAAAATATACAAAGACTTTGACTGTTCAATGTCTGGATCAGTCAGGACCTCCAGCTCGAGGTCTCCGATAGCATCTTGATATGCCATCGTGACTGGAATAGCAAGATCAATCACGGCATCGAGAATGGCCTGCAAAAGCATACTGGCATCGCATGACTGTCGAAGAATAGTTTCAGGCGACGTGAGGCGCCTGACAATTGGCGCCTCGATGTCATCCGCGCTCGTTTCGAAAAGGGACGTAACCGTATTATCGGCATGTAAGAAGATCGAGACTTGTTCTAAAGTGACACATAGTCCTTTGGCAGAAAGTACAGCATGGCGTTCCATAAACTCAATTCGATCCTCATTGGGACCACCGCGATATCGCTGAAGACTCCTGGCAGTCGTTTCTGTGGCGGTCCCAACATTTCCAAAATGGGAGTTCTGTTTTGAAGTTTGTCCAGGGCCAGGACGAACGCTCGATCCATAAGTCGCCTTATCCTTGTATTCACGTCTCGTGGAGGTTCTGAATCGGAAAATGTCCTTCAATGCCGCCATGATAACATTCCACTTCGTGGGCCGCTTCAACGAAATCGAGCTCTTGTCGCTGACCACAGAGCTTTTCCGGTCCCTTGACTTCCATCGACTGATCGAATTTTGCTCCTCACCTTCCGGATCAGAGGAGTCTTCTTCTTGTATCTTCATCAACTTTTGTAATGTCAGTACGACGAAGGCATGGTCTGAGTACCAATCCGCTTTCGTGCGGTTAGTGGTATGGACAACATCCTCAATTGCGAGCCGATGCAATCTCTTATGATTTCCAAGAATCTTAATCACATCCCAGCTCAACCCATTGACATTGATCCACCGGCATTGCACCCATGGCTCTCTCTCACGCTCCAAGAATTGCTCCAGTGTGTCATTGTCCAGCTCGTACTGTCGCATTCCATGTTGTGAGAAATCCACCACTGTAATCTGGCAGCGTCGGTGTAGGTCCGCGGGTATGTTGGACGCCCATTCTGACGTGTACGGCGGTAGCGGCTTGGTTGGGTCAATGCCGGGTTCGGTTCCTGGCTGCCAATTGGGATCTTGTGCGAACCCCTCGGGGTGGTATGAGCGGGCAGTATTGCGTCTGGCTCGGCGTTTTGTTGTCTCGGTGGAGTTCACTCGTGCTGCTGCTGTGGTGAAAGCGGGAAACGAAGTTTCCTCTCTTTCTCTTCCTGTCGGAGAGACTTGGGAGCTGACTGACGGGCGACCCGCCTCAACATCGACATCGGATCGTGGAGCACCGTGCTGCGCATAATCAAGCGAGTGTACGCTCATCTTCACGGTTCATATAGATGCCCACATCCAATCTCGAGGTGGAATGACGGGTTTTCATCGGCTCCGAACTTCGATGCGCTGCGCCTCAATGAGGTGGAACCTGGGCCAGAGGGATATTTTAGTCAATGCCTGGTGAAAGTATACCGAGTATATTTGAATAATCGGTGCGCCTCTCATCGAGACGCCACAGCTTCAGCGAAGAACATGTCGAACTTGCGCGGGGGATATGACGTCGAAGGGAGCGGTTTTCTGCCGCGTCTGCTTCAGACGAAACCAGCTCAAATGGAAAGGCTATATTTGAACATGAAAGACATGGAAGTTGAAGAAACGAAAGCACAGAACAAATAGCGAGCAGGGAAAAAGACAGGAGACACAGGGGCTTTTGGTGCACAGGGGGTTCAGGTGGAGTATCCTATTAAGGGAGACACCTTCGCAATGGACACAGCCCCGACAAAGCATTCTACTTCATGCATATATACATACCTAGGTAGGCTACACATTTAGGACTTTGAACTCGTATAGATTGATTCGTACAAGTACATATAGGTACACGGTTCCCATTCCATCACATCACTATGCACCGTACTAACGCCGTCCCAATGCTGGCTTCCGATCACTCCAGATATAACACATTCACAATAGTCAAACAAGATGGGAAAGTAGAGTAATAATTACAGTAAAAATATGTTGCCGAGAGAATACAAAGAAAATCATAGAAAGAGGGGGAGCATTATGCTCGGGCTGTTGCCCGTAGTTTCCAGGAAGGACGGTGGAATCCCATTTGAGCCTGCTTGTTCCCATGAGAACTAGGCCTAGGGGGCCCGTGGAAGTCGGGGTAGAGGCCTGACTCCATGTCCATCAGAACCGCCCGCTGGGGCTTTGCTGGGGTCCAATTGGTAGATTTGCCTTTCGGCTTGGTAGAAGGGGTGCGAGGGCTAGGAGCGTTGGCGCTATTGACTGCCCGCGTCTTCTCCTTGATGATATCGCGGAGCTCTTTGTCATCCTTGGTGATCTGAGCTTTGATGAAATCAATGTCTTTGGAAGCTTGGAAGGCGGACATGACCGACTCCCGCGGGGTGTACGGGTATTTTTCGGGGTTTGGAGGCGACTGTGGTGCGATGGAAGGGTCCAAGAAAGCTTCCTGATTCTTGTTCAGGAGCTGAGTAATATCCAGCGTTTCACCATGCGGAATTTTGTGGGGGTGCGAAGGAGTCACACAGTCCATGTCGACTTCTTTGCGAAGTACATGGTCAATGTCGACGGCGGAGAAGTAGGCGCAGGATTGGGGAAGGTCATCAATCCCTACCTGCTGCGAAAACAGGGCACGAGTCCAAATGTTGGCAACCTGCAAAGCCATTGCAGCGCGGTACCTATCCTCATCTTTGACAAGGTAACGAATCTCATCGTGAACAGTGATGGCCAAGCGGGCCTGAATGTTGAATTGTCGGATGAGATAGTCCATGCCAACAATCAAGAGGTGAAGATAATCGACACCCGACGACTGGATGGCCCAGTTGATTCGGGATGTCATGAAGCTGCCTTTGTTAATAAAACGTCGCATAAGCGCCTCGGTGATCCCAGCACCCAGAGCAGGGGTTCTAGGCCGTTCCTGATCCGCGAACTCTTCGAGTTTATTGAACACAAAGGATTCGGTGCCACCTCGCCAAAACGGTGTCTCACTCAAGAGGCGACGTGAGGTGCGCGTTCCCTTGGTCTCTTTGTACAGGTTCTTAGCAGTCTCTTGTGTCTGCCTTTCGGTCAGAGACGGGTTGAACTGGCGAAGTAGAGTAGCGGCGAACTTGACACCTGCCCCGTAGATTCGGCCGTAGTTGAAGACCTTGGCATCGTTACGCGATATTCCCAGAATCGACGCACTTCGTGAGTGAAGATCCGTCCCCTCGGCTTTGGACCCTTCTAAGCACATGAAGCCAATTGCGTTTCCTCCGTGAATCTGGAATGGCGCATCTCCGACAAGGCTTGCAATCCACAATTCCTGGGAATCAACATCCGCTCCAACGAATGAGTAGCCTGGCGGTGCTTTGATCATAGCCTTTAGCTCTGACCCGACACGGTTGGCCTTCGCGTTACTTGCAGTCAGCCAGGTATTTTCCACGGCACGTCGAGTGATGGTTCCCATGGGAATAACTTGAGGCAGAATAAAACCGACGCGATTATCGCTTGCTTCAATTTTCCCGTTGCCCTTTTGCACCTGATCTTCATAGACCACGATTTGACCCATGATTCGATCTCGAGCGCTGATCCAGTAGGAGCATGAGGCGTTCATATCCAGCGCTTGTTTGGCAAGTTCATACTGAGAGGACAGAATCCCACGCTCGAAATATTGCATATACCCTTTGCCAAGCGGATTGGTACACCTGGCCTGTGGGCCGTCTTTGTGCGGGATTTTGAAGTATGTGGCCTTTCTATCGTCTCGCAACTCCGTGTTCTTTTCCTCGGCCATATCGCACATGACCACTGGTTGATTCTCATACTGTTTGATTTGGTCACGAGGGACGCGGAAAGTCCAACCGTGCAGGTCCGACCAAACAAGAGGGTAGCTGTCCCATGACAGTTTAAGCAAAATAGGTGCAATGCGAGTTCGCACCGTCAGGTTGATCTCTGCGGCGTTTGAGCTAAAAAGATCCTTGTACCACTTGGGCATTCCTGGTTTCTTTTGTCTAGCCGCCGGCCGAGGAGGATCGCCCTTCTTCTTTCCTTTCGCCATTTTGATCTCTTGGCCGGACCAGTCCAGCTGTTGTAGCCAAGGATCATTCGTGTAAATGTTTGGTTGGTCTTTATATTTCAATGCCTCGTCGCATAGTGCTAGCAATTTACTCTGGACATCGTCAAGTCGTTTATGATAAGTCTCCTCTGCGCTGGCAAGATACTCTCCCCAGGACTGATTGACTGGCAAAATGACAGAGGACAAGTGCCGAAGCGCGCCGAAACTGACAGGATGCGGGCAAGTCTCAAGAAAGTTAGGGAAGACTTTTCGGTAGACACGGTGGGTGATGGCAACATCGGCGGCACAATAGTCAAGAAGTTCCTCCAGTCTGCCTACGATAGAATCACGATCAAGTTCACCGAAGAAATCTCTCTGCGCCTTATCGATGGTGACATCACAATGGAATTTGGCCACATCACGCAGAGAGTTCACCGAGCTTCGCCCAACCCAAAGCTCTTCCTCTTCTTCCCTCAACATGTTGTTCTCGAGAAGTGCCGCAAGCTCCACGGAATCGTGCTCATTCGCGATTTTATTTCTCATGTCCTGATTCTTTTTGTGGCGCATCCAAGTCGGTCTCTGCTGTGAACACATGCCGTTGACGGCGACGTGAAGGGACATTGTGTCAAGAAAGAAGTTTTGAGACTGTTGCATGTCGTATTCCTCAAGGACTCGGGCTCGATCGTAACCAATATTGTGGCCAACCACAATGCGGGGTTGATTGGGGTCTCCCAAGGGTACTAGCTGTATTTCATTCTTCGACTCGCCGAGCAGCCACGGTGATAACCATGCATACCATGCTGTCGGGCTTACCGCGCAAGCCATGACTGCAAATGAATTGTTTTTGTACATGACCTCGGTGTCAAATGTTAACATTGATTCGTTGGGGGCATCAACAGGCTCAGAAGTGCCATCAGTATGGTATTTCGTCCATCCACTGCGTTTGACCCATTTGCGTGGCTTGGCTGGACAGTTGAGAGCCGCATATGATTTAGCCCATGACAGGTAGGGTTCGGAAGAATCCATTCCAAGTTTGTAGAAATGCTCGTCCAATGTTTGCCCCTTGAGAGCAGGAAGATCGAATGCGACAGGACCGGCGCCACTTTGGGATTTGCCCAGGAGCTCATGCCTAGCCAAATGGTCCTTCGAAAGTGCGACTAGTTCTGGGTCCGGGATGCGACCTTTATTTGGGAAAACTTGAGCATGGACATGCTCGCTGAGCTGTTGGACTCCGATGTCATTGAATCTGGATGAAGAAGGGACTGCGCCAGATCAGTAATTGCGATCTGGTTGGAAAAGAAGCACAAGACAGGGCACCCACCAGAAAGAGATCGCGCAGTGGTAGCATTGTCGGCGGAAGTAGAGGAAAGTCTAGTATGACTTCTGTGTGATTGGTACCATGATGGCGGCTTAACCAGGAGCGTCGAGCTTAGTCGCGAGAAAGACCTCACGGCACCCCTGGAACAAGGAGTGCAGGAGGACTTCCAAGATAACATCATAAAAATAAGAATCTCGCAGCGTTAGGTCATGTTAGAAGTATGGCCACAGCCGTAAGGCTGCACTGGTAGCCCGAAGAAAATCCTAGAAAAAGAAGGTGGACGTAGGTAATTTCCATATCATCGCCTATCGCCATATCTCAGATCTGGGCGTCATGCAGGTCGGAATATAGTTTTACCGAAGTTCTTGACCGCCTTCTGTTTGCGGCCAATACGCATTATGTCAAAAGATTCTCTGGTTATCAGGGACCGAATCACGTGGTTCTATATACATCCGGTCGGTCTAATAATCTTCCGAGAACACCCCTCTATTAGCTCACTGACCGCCTTCCAGTCATAGACAGAAAATACATCCATGGATGGATCGATGGCGGGCTTATCTGACACTTTATCCCCACGTGACCCGTTCGATAAGCCCGGAGATTAAGGTGTGTCGCCATCACCTTCTTTGAGCGCTGAAGAGGCCCCGGTTTTGCCGATATCTTTCTACTCAAATCTATGACACCTTCCTTGTGTCTTGGCAAAATTTACTGAGGCTGTTCGTGGGCCAACAATTCTACAACGTCTCACGTCCTCCCCCACACGACAGCACAGAACTGCAGACAGCTTTCCTTTCCAATTCTATAATATTTCCCTCGTTCGACCCTGACGCAAGCCTCTTAGAGAGAGCCCCTTCTTCCCGTTCCGTCACAATGAGCAGAAACAGGGCTGCTGTTGTCGACCTGACAACCAGATCATCTCGACAAAATCCTATCTCTCTATCCTCCTCCCCGCCTGCCGCCTCGGACCACGCATCCTCTTCCCGCCATGCACAGTTGCCTCCTCCCCGCGGTGTCAAGCGTCGTCGCAATTGGAGCGATGAGCACAGCGATTCCGTCGCATCTTCTTCGACTCTCTCCCAAGACCAGCCCATCGAAACGATCGATATGACCGACGACGCAGGCGCGGCCGCACTCGCCCGAACAGTGGCCAAACAGAGGGAGGATGCCATCAAAGCGCAGGCCTCAGCGGAAGGCGATTCAAATCTCTCCGCTATACTCGCTTACAAATGTCCCATTTGCATGGAGACCCCCGTGGACGCAACGAGCACCTCATGCGGTATGTTCTTGACTCTAATACATAGGCTTCGAGCGTGCCAGGGCTTCTACTGACTCCTCATGTTTAGGACATCTCTTTTGTCACAAGTGCATCATCGACTGCTTGAAGATGAGCGAACAAACACGCGGCGTTGACTCTTCGAAACATCACAAAGGTACCTGTCCGGTGTGCCGCACACCGATTTCGCGAAAGGAGACGCCTGGGAAGCCTAAGAATCTCGTTCCGCTGTTGTTTCTAACGAGAAAGAGAGGTGATCTTCCCGTGTCTGGCCGATAGAGCCTTTACGTCGGCTTTTTCCTCGGCTCTTTAAATATTTGTTTTTCTCTCGACTCTTGCGGCATTGCGAATCGGAGCATGGGAATGGGTGGATTTCTTTTTGGGAATTGTGCATAAGCGGGTTGCATCTGCGATTAACGACCTGGAACTGATGAATGGAGTTATTTACTATTGACTTGCATGGTGCGTAGATGTAGTTGTACCTCGATATGGATTATCCATATGTAGTACAATTTCGATGTCTAAATACTATTGCATATCTGATCTGGCCCTTCTTGCAGGATCGAGTGTATTCCGTCGACCAAGCGCACTTCCCAGACCTCCCCGAACCATTGCATCCCCCTTCTTCCCCAACACTACCTCGATAGCCTGCACAAGGGCATTGGGATCATATTGCATTCCAACAACGGTCTCCTTATCACCATCCTTGGCCATGATTTTTCGTCCGTAAAGACGAAGCGTTTCAATGCCCATATGCGTGAGCCGCTCACGGTCCACATGCGGTGTCCCCGGACCATCCAGATGCAATACATGAGTCACATAGTTGGTATATGGAAGGGCTCTGTAATTTCGAACGTTATCTTTCACTGAAGTCGTCGCGGGGGTTTGACTTTGATGTTGAGAGTGAATAATTGGGCCCCGTCCACGGCTTTCTTCTCCAGCGCTTACAATTGCTTCCACAAAATCAGACGCGGAAAAAGGTGCGGATGGAGGCCCCGTTTCCCGATCCAATGATCCGTTCAAGATGAGGATTTTGTGCCGTGCTGGACTGGAGACAATACTTTTGCCCACGCCTCGCAGGATGATGGCAGGGATTATTGATGTGTAGAGAGATCCAATGCTGTAGATAATGGCCTGGGAATCGTTTATTGCTTCCAGCACTCGCGGATTCGCGGGTGGTCGGATCTCCTGGCCGTATGGGTTGATGTACCAGATGCGAGTGATTCTAGAACTCAAATCTTCGTTCTCAGTTTTACTGAACTTGATATTCTTGTTACGGAGAGTTGCCAGAGAGCCAGGAAGATGATCCTCTTCGTATGTCGTCGGGTCTGACATTTCGGAATCAGTGTAATCAGCATCATCTCCATCTGCAAGGAGCAGACTCGGCCTCCTAGAGCGGGAGTTGTGCTCAAGGGCCGTCGCCTCGCTTGGGTGCGAGATACTGTTCTGGCCGACAATGACAGTTCCGTCGGCAAGCGATGCAGAGATATGGTGGGAGAAATTGGAGTTGATCGCTGGGATTACGCGCACCAGATCAGACGGCACGCCGCAGATACTCCCGAGTAGATAAATTGCGCTTTCGAAGCTTCCACTGAACAGCCGGGCGGCAGTCAAGAAAAGATTTCCCACACTGGCGGAGGTGAAGTCAAAGGTTGAAGATGGCGGTCGGGCTCGTTTCAGAATTTCCAAGTTCAATACATTGAAGAATGAGCGTATCAATTCTTTCTTTGCGGGAGTGATAGCTGTCCATAGCCCAGATGTGCCATCAACGATAGACTGCCATTCATTGGTTGCAATGCCTGTTTCCGCAGGCAGCCGATGGTTAAACAATGCCTTGATTGCTGACCTCTCAGGGTGTTCTTGCGAATCCGGAATCAAGCGAACCAATCGACCTGTCCGAAAAGTTAGCAAGCGAGTTAGGGGAGATCCCAAATGTTGGGCTTACTCCGAACATCACCAATCCCAGGGCCACCGAATATGCGAATCAACTCGGAAGAGGATCCTCCGTTATCGCTGATTGGAATGATGTAGCTAAGCGGACAATTCTTGTTTTCACGGACGGCGCTGAATACATCGACGAGATTGTTTGCCGCGCTCCCCCCTGATATGACAACAATCCCTCTATTGGTCGCCATGGCCAAATATTTGTGCTGCTTTCACCACTTGAGCAGCTTCAAATTCGATGCGAAGCCAGAAACGTCGAAGGGTGTTTGAATCGGAATGAATTTTAAGAGATGGCATGTCTGGGCCCGCACGCGCAACAATGACAACAATGACACATTCCCGTAAACAGCCACACAAGAACGGCCAACTTCGCCAATTGAATAAGGTGCAGAGCGGCCGGGGGTCGATACTTGAATTATATCTGATTTTAGACTGGCAGAAATTAAAATACGTGAATTACTATGGCAGAGCCCTTAACTAATAAGCAAGGTACCTGGAATTGGATGAACACGGTGATTTGTATAGTGGGAATAGCTTCATCTTCTTACCTGCCTGCTTTAAAGAGTAGGACCACACTCCCCCAGTTGTCGCGTGTTTTTGGTTTCTTTTACCATATGTACAGAGGTAGAAAAGGTCCACGTTACCTAGGTAGACATTGAAGCCATTCCCACCGTATAAATAATGTCCCTATAATATCCGTATCTTCCGATAGCTCCAGCGTGGCAAAGTATTTGCTATAAAGATCAATTTAGTTATATACAATATTTTGATCTAGGTTTTGCTACGACACAGACAATGTTGTGGAATGTCCCTGGCATCGAACAAGATCGTGTGGGCAACCACGTAGTAACTTCAACCCTAATCCCGAATATTACCCCAGATCGACCAAGATCTTTCCACGTAGACTGACAACTCCATAAATTTGATATAAGACCGCTGGTTTCAGAGCTAGATGCGAGAGAAATGGTAGTCCAACAAGTCATCTCCCTTATCAACACCACTCTTTACCTAGGTAACCTGCCAATTGATATAATCAATCCGTCATGGAGATGTCTATATTTAGCGAACATAGCAAAGCTCAGTCTTTGCACTCTGAGGATATCGATATCGACAGGTGCATCATTGTCGATGCAGAGTTTTCACTGAGAAGAAGCTTGTCCGAAAGATCGATCTCTATTTGATGCCTTCAATCTTTGTTCTTCACCTTTTCTCCTACATGGTAACCTAGCAATTGCCAACCGTATGTCGCTAAAAATACTAGGACAGATCGAACATTGGCCTTGCAAAGATCGCCGGAATGGAAAAGGATCTTTACCTCACATCGCATCAATACTATACAGCCGTGATAGTATGGGTGATTGGCTATACTATCTCTGCAGTGCCATCTAAGTAAGATGAGAGGGTTCATTTCATGTCTCCCAGATACAACATGCTAAGTCTAGATTCAGCATGATTCTCTCTCGGACTCGCCCATCAATTTTCATTCCAAAGATCGCATTTGCATGGGGATCTGTCGCAGCCTTGATAGGAGCTGTCCGTCATCAAGGTGGCGCACCTGGGTACTGATCCCGGGGTTCGTAACCCTTTCGGGAGCTGGGGCTATCTCATACTTCTATCGGACGTTGATCAACGACATGGGATATACCTCCACCACCGCGCAGTACATGACAGCTCCGCTGTATACTGTTCTCTTGTTGCTGCTATCCCTATTTGCTGGTTCGCTGACCGCAAACCACATGTTGGGGACAGCTATTGGTGGGCAACATGATAGTCGGGATGGTGTTTTTCGCTCTTACGGCGGATATTCAAAACAGTACTGCGCGATATGTGTTTTTGTGCGTTATTAACATGACTCTCTGGACGGGAAACTCGCTGGCTCTTTCATTTGCTACTACGGCTCTGGCTTCGGTTACTCCTGATGTTCGTGCGACCATGCTCGCGTGGATACCTGCCGTTGCTGCTTTGGCGCAGTTATGTGGGAGTGCCCTGTTTCCAGCGGAAGACTCACCTGCGTATGTCGTCGGGTTTTCTGTATTTTCTGCTACTTTTGCCGTCGGGACTGTTCGTTATGGCCTGGCGGATATTTTCTTCAAGCGTTATCCATGAAAGAGGTACCGTGATACGCTGCATCATCGTTAGGAAGATGTCCGCCTGAAACATGAATTGCAACCATTTTACTGCACAATAGAAATAACTAGGGATAAATATACAGTCGATACTTCGAATATATGAATTTCATGCAGCCGTTTATTATAAATCTTATCCCCAATGAAAACAGCCAGATATCGTCTATGTCCCCTAACTTTACATGCATGTTCTGTCCTGTCCAGACAAGACAAGACATGGGTCTTTATCAAAATTTAACATAAGCATCGGGTTTATTTACCCGAGCTTGGATTCGTGAAACAATAGGCCCACGCAGAATGCGCTCCGGGTGTTCCAAATTTCCGTCGATTGCTTCAGCTCGCCAAAGTACGCCTTGCGTTCTTGTTTAGTGAGTCACCTGAGTAGCAGCACCGGGGGCGGAGCTGCCACTGTAGAGAACAAGCAGAATGAGAATGCAAGGCACACCGATGAGGATGGCCTTGGTGCGGGCAGGGTTGCTGCGGTTGTACTCACCAACCTGGAGGCGCACATCGGTAGCAAGGCTCTGGCACTTCTCAGCACCGAGCTTGTAGTACACCAGACCAGCCAGGGCAATGGAGTAACCGAAGAACTGCTGGGGAGTGACGGGGTCGCGGAAAATGATCATGGAGGCAGCGACAAGGAGGATATCCTTGAGGATACCAGCCATGGTCAGGACAACAGCAGAAGTCTTGCCAATCTATAGATGTGTCAGTGACATGGTTACTATCCATTGAGATAAAACGACTTACCAGCAAAACAACGGAAGCGTTGAGAAGGAAAGCAACCAGTGCGTTGGCAATGAGTGTACCAATACCGAGGCCGTAGATATCACCCATAGTAAGACGGGGAGCCTCAGCGAAGAGGGTGACGAGACCGTTGGTGACAGCGCAGGCCGGGGCGTAGTAGTAAAGAGAGACCAAGGGGTCCATTTTGAACTCGGCGGAGCTGAGCAAACGCTGGACCATGACAAGACGGAGGGCCTCGAAGACGATACCCGCAATCTGGACTGTACGGTTGTTAGAACGAGAATGTCAGATATACCAGAAGATTGACATACTGAGGAAGCCGACCATCTCGAACTTGATCTCGCCGAATGAGGCAATCACAACACCGACAACAATGAGAGACACATTGCCAAGAGTCTTCAAGTTGGTAGGAGCGATTCCGAAAGCCCAGGTGGCCAACAGGGTTGCGACAGCGTTGGTAGCCTAGAAAAGCGTTAGCATTGAGTCGAGCCTAGCATTCGAGAGAGCGGAGGAAATCGCAATTGAGGCCAACACTCCCGTTTCAGACGCACCTTAAGCATTTGGATAAAGGAAACGCTCAGGTAGAGGTATGCCAAGTTACCACAGATCAGACTCAAACTGAACATGACACCAATGGGCACAATGGCGCGTCTGTATTGTACAAATCCACCGGTCAGCGATCGAAATTTCGGGTTGGACTGTAGCCGTGCTAGCTATTCCATATTGCATCATCGGGGTTGCTCACGTATAGGTCGCCGGGTTCATAGGGACCTTGTGGCGGGAGTCAAGCACGGTAGTGAACCGGGCGAGAATCTGGGTCATCGCCGTGGCAAACACCATGTGCCAGGTGGTCAAGAAGAGCGCTGGTATGTCGGGTCAGTAATTGATTTCCCCGGACGAGGTTAAATCTCGATTTTTGGTGGCAGAGAAACTCACGGAAGTCTAGAATCACTCATAGTTAGCTGCGAAGTCCAATGCGAATAATAGGGGATTAGAGAGAGGGGGCCCATACTGAACTTGGCGCTCGCAAGAACCCATTTGTTGAACAGGATAACGCTGGAACTCAGGGCAATCCACAGGCTAGAAAGTCCAGTCTTAGTTTAATTCTGGAGAAGGCCTCTAGGACGTAAATGTCACGTACGCAATGTAGAAGCCGGGGTGGAGACCGTTGTCCTTGGGGGCAGGAGAGCCACTCTCGAGCTTACGCTCATCCTGCGACGAGCGACCGTTTGCCATGGTGAAAATAAAAAAAACAGTATAAAAGAATGACTGTGGTGAGTAGGAAAAAAAGTGTGGTTGAAAGGGAGATGATAAGGGGAAAGAAATGATTTATGAACGATCGGCAGTTTACCGATGGAGACGCTACAGTGGGCACTTCCAATCACAGCGCCGTTTTAATAGGTGTGTCGCCCCAGTCCTTCCACGTAATCCCCAAGCCCTGGAGTCCCTGAAAGGGTTTCAGGGTGTTGAAGATCGAGGAGAATTTTCTGGTTTATCCCTGTCGATCATAGCACAGCCCACTCAAGTCTCTTTTTTTCTCGTCTAGCGTATCACGTCTTCATGAGGCCAATTAGGGTCAATTTAAAGTCAACTTGCCAAGAATACAGGGAAATGACTTTGCGCTGAGACAAAGAAAAATTAAACCAATCACAATAAAGTATGCATATATACACATCGAAGATGGAGGCTACTATGTGTACGTATAACGTTGCGATTACATGATCACGTGATCGGGATAGATATAGATTTTCTCATCATCAATCATCACCTAAGACGTCTCCCGTTTCTTACGGATCTTCAATCATTCCGATGAACAATTGTACAGGCCAGTATTGTCAAATATTTCAACATGACAGACTCAAACACCTCGGCCGATTCCAAAATCGACCATGCCGCCTCCTTGAAATACTGGAACAGCGTGCCAGCCACCACGGGCAGCATGCTAGGCGATTTTCCTTCAGTGTCACGCATTGACCTACAAGGGTCTAAAACTTTCCTAGCCAAGGTCCGCCGTTTACTGCCAGGGGTCCAATCTGGGGTCAAATTCCACCAAGGTGTGGACTGTGGCGCCGGCGTCGGCCGGGTGACGGAAGGTTTCCTGAGCCATGTCTGTGAAGTGGTAGATGCGGTAGAGCCGGTAGCCAAGTTCACACAAGTGATGAAGGACAGCCAATTGAAACGAGACGGCATCTATGGAACTATCTACACGCGCGGCCTTGAAGATTGGATCCCAGAGAAGAAATACGATTTGATCTGGGTCCAGTGGTGTGTGGGCCACCTCACAGATCCACAACTCATTGACTACACCGTGCGGTGCCGCAAGGCGTTGACTGAAAATGGCCTTATGGTTCTCAAGGAGAACCTGTCCACACATTTCTCCGGACAAGACATGTACGACAGTGAGGATAGCAGTGTCACAAGGACAGACGCGAAATTCAGACAAGTATTCGAGGCGGCTGGCATGAAGGTCGTCAAGTCAGAACTCCAGAAGGGCTTCCCCCAGTCTTTCAATCTCTTGCCTGTGCAGTTCTATGCCTTGCGGCCGAAGACAACCAATTAGCCACCCATGCCTTGTGTCCCTCGTTTGCCTGATCTTTGACGGTCGATGATGCCAGATTGGTCTCTGCGGACTTTCATTACTAGTCGGACCGGCACTACAGGGCTGTGATGGATGCTTCAACGTTCTTGCTCCTACGAAAGTTGATGACTATCATATCCTCCTGTACCTAGCCATGCTCTAGTTAACTATCCTGGCAACTCATGATTATTAAAAAGACTAAGGCTGAGAAGCAAACGGGTCTTTTGTACCATCATCCTCAGTATCCCAGGCATATTCAATCTCTCTAGCAATGCTTCCGGATAAGTCTTTTCCATATACCTGTCGTACGAACGCCAGTGTCACATCAATACCGGCGCTCACCCCAGAAGCAGTCCAAATGTTCCCGTCTACAATCCACCTCGCCTCCCTGACCCAATGGACCTCTTTTCTTAGCGCAGTCGTCAGCTCCCATAACAACTTATTAGTGGTAGCCCTCCTTCCATCCAAGATTCCTGCTCTTGCTAACACACCAGCCCCATTACAAATTGAGATGATGTGTTTCACCGATGGGAATATTTTCTCAACAAATTCGATAACAGGGTTGATAGTATCTGGGAAACGTGTCCCAGCACCACCCGGGATGAGGAGAACATCAATGGTCGATTTGCTTTCTGGGCTGCCGTCTGCGCCCATAGAATCAAGGAAGTCGTCGAATGTTCCAGTTGGCACTATATCTTGCGAACAAGTTGACCCCGTTCGGTGGGCAGCCGGATCCGGAGAACGCGTTGAGACGGGAGCAATGGATGAGGATAGTAAGGACAGCCGAAGATAAGTTTGCTCAGAGAGGACATTGAGGATTTCCAGCGGCCCGAAAACGTCTAGGGCTTCAAAGCCAGGGTATAAAACCATGGCATAATGCATCTTGTTTGTAGTTGTCGAATATAAGGTGTGCTATACCCTAAAAGGACTTGATTGTTTCGTACTCGCCACGAAGCAATGGAGGGGCTTGCATGTAGAGACTAAGGTTGTGGAGGAAAACTAGGAAGGAAAGGAAGGCGGGGGATCTCCCCCACCTTTAGCGAACATTCTATGGGCATTTACAGGTATTTTAATGGACACTAAAACCGAATACGCTATAAACACGATACGACCGAGCAGGTGTTATACCCGGAGGGATTAGTGTGGTATCGGATACAGCCGAGAAACGAAGCGTGTGTCTTCGTTTTTCAACATCCACTGTAAATATACTTGGCCAAAGCTACTTTTGAAATGACTCTAAGATGACTCGTGGCCAGAAGAATCCGAGACGAGCTATGGCTGAGGACCCAATTCGCATGGATCATTGATCCCATCCATTGACTGTTATGTACATACAACCACTTTCTTCGATAGCAAATGTGGTATGAAACCAATCAAAATTGATACAAGGAGTCTGACTCCGCACCAGCAAAAGGAGAAATCTTAAGTCGTCCACCAGAAACCACATCCCTATTCAATTTCCCCGGCGGAGTCCACACAATCTCCGCAACATTTGTTCGCGGCCGAGACATACCGCACCCAGTGTCATCTCTATTATGAACCAACAAAAGGTCCGGTTGACATCCCTGCTTTACCCATGGACCCGAGTGGGATGGCGAGAGCCCAATGGCTGCCCTCGCACGTGTGGACACACATTCATAGAGTAGCTCAGCATCCGCCTGACTTCCAGCCTGGTAGATTCCCACGCCGAGACAAGCCAACGATAACGGATCGGGCAAACCCCATGGGGTAAACGAATTGCCGACATTGTTCACCCCAATCACTGCATCCAGGCTATATTTCCGGATCATCTCTAGGACTTGTAGAGTGCCTCTCGGGCGATCTTGCGGAGGCTTGCAGTCCCCGCTCGCTCTGGGAGGTGACGCCATGTACATATCGCTTGTTGGCAGACCCACGAAGCTGACTGGGAGCTCATTCTCGTGGATTTCAGTGGCCAGTCGGGCCCATTCGTTCTCCGTGAGCAGTGTCAGTCGTGTGCAATGACCAAGCATGACACGCTTGTCGGTTGAGTGGGTAGTCCAGTTTCGTTGTTTGAGAATCTGTAAGACATGCCAAACTAGGGCCTCTTTGTTTGGATCAAGGTTGTAATCAAGGTGGAAGTCGAGGTGTTTGTTCAGCTCCAAGGCACAATCAATCGCCCATTCGATGTTTTGCTTTGCAGCCTCAGGGCTGGATTCGACGTATGGCGTTGTCCCAATAACATCGATTTGCGAATATTTATGAAGAGCAGCTTCCAGAAATTCAATGTTTTGCTCTCCGTATTCACTAGAGAATATAGGATCTTGCGCAAAACAGACGATTTGGATATGGCAAGAATCCTTCCATTGCGTTTTCAAAGAAACGGCAGCTTCTAAACAAATCAGCTGCACTGTACGGTCTACCTCCACAAACGCTCTCATTGCAGTGACACCCGATGCAATGGACTCAGCAAGAAGCCACTCTCCTCTTCTAATGATATCAGAATGGCTGAACTGTTGTTTGGCCTTGGTCGTGGAGGACAGAGCCTCCTGGAACGTGCCAGCTGTAGGTAGAAACAGGGCATATTCAGGTGCGCTGTGAATAAAGGCTTTATCGAGGTGAATGTGAGGGTGTGTCAAGGCTGGTAGGGCTAGTGGTGACTCGATATCATCCTTGGTAGAGGGTTCATGCGGAGTCACAGAGGTGACTGTGCCCTGTGCAGAGCCTGCAGAGTATCCAATCTGGATATCCCAGGTGGATTGTTCGCGTGCTAGTCGAACATCACGAATGAAATTAATTGGGCTAGTCAGTCGTGGCGGAGACATATTCTTTTGCAAGCGAAGTTGTTGTCTGAGCGGAATTCTTTCCCGAAGCCCCCCCCCCCGCACCGCGTCGGAGTTCGACAGCTTCCGAGGGGATCACGAGCTTACTGATAACACACCGTGGACAACTTCTTTGAAACAACAATATATTCAATAGGCTTAACATGGTAGCCTTGACTATCTCCAGCGCATTTAAATTCATGTACATGCAAATGCGAGGTAACAAAGTACGTATATCTACCCAAGTATAGATCGAGACTCTCTCTACTAAGCTCCCCGAACTAATACTCGCACTTTCTGGCGGATTGTCTTCAACATGCTGACGACCGTATCCGCTGTTTCGCAATGCTGCGCCCATAGTTCAACGCATTGAATGGCCTCTTTCACTAGCTCATCGAAATCCGGAACGAGAGCCTCTAAAGCAGGTGTGGTTTTCGCAGTCGAGAGAGTAAAAATGGCAGCCAACATTCTAGATGTATAAAGTAAGTAAGTGAAATGCTGAAACAGAAAGATGGTCTTACGTTTGCATTCTGTGCCAGTTTGAGTGTGTTCTCTGCCGCATAAGAAGCGATGCCGCCCAGATGAATTTGCGGCAGCTATCGACGCACTTCTTGCAATTCGCGAAAATAAACTCCGGCAAGACCGTACTACCTTGGGTGTGCGCAGCAAAAACAAGACTCGGGCGGCAGATGATGTGTTTTGTAGCATAGTACCGGGCGAGAATGTAAGTATCGTAAGGCTTATCTGTGGATATTGAATTGCCCAGGGTTGGTCTGATGGGATTTGGGAGAGAGCCAAACCAGTCCTCCAATTGACGATCGAGTTCCTCACTGATTGTCTTAAGAGATGTAATCGAATGCTTTTGGGGGGTCGCACTGGGGGTGTCACTCGTCTGTTGGGGCGGAGGGCTGGCATGGAAATTCTCCTGGTCGGGTTTTGCGTACAGAGCGCTGTGCACACGGTTGAGAAGCTTTCGAATCGAGCACATTGCGAGGAAAACAAGGTGGCCGTTTCGGCTATCTTCCGAAATTCGAGGAAATGGCAATCTATCAACGAGGAGTTCAATGCCACTGGGAGGGAAACGAAACTCCGCGAGATCGTCACTGGGGTAAGGTGGTTAGCCGAATATGAGATGATCCCAAAGAGTATACGAACCATTCGAGAATGAAACAACCCCAAGCAATCCGATAGAGACTAGCTCGCTCTTCGTGCGTGTTCATGTCATGTAGTCTGTACCCAAATCCGTATCAATATCCTGGCGAAAACGTATCTCAGAGAAGATACTCACTCGGAAATCATGATCTGCACACTGCCGGACGCATCACGGATCATTTGCCATGCTTGGATTGGGCGTCCTATGTGACGCAGATACAAAGAGCCGTAGAATAAAGCCAAAGGCAGCAAGTGGTCCGCTGCAAAGGACGTTATCAATGGGTTGTTCAAGTAGTGATATGCGGAAGCGAAATATTCCATCCCACTCATATCTTTGTCCGCCTCGATGTCAAAAATTCGTTGTGGATTCGAGGAGGCCTTTCCTAAAGCCAGAATGACGAGATAAAGTGAAGTCTGGATGCTGTTGACCTTGGTGTATGTCGAGAAAGTGTCAAATAGCATATGTAACAACTGCGGCTCGACAATCGGGAAGAATGCATGGACATGTTGGAGGAACTCGGTGATCAGAGGTTTGGTGACCTGGGGATGCAGTCGGGATATGTCGATTTGTTCAAAGGCCTGAGGTACGCCTGCGACCTGGATACTGTTGAATGGTCGCCTTTTCTCTATCTGCTTGAAAAAGTCTTGAGGGTAGTCGCCAACCAAATTCTTGACTCGGTCCAACGCAAACAGGCTTCCTGTTGGCGTATGGTGACCGAGAGGAATAGTAAATGCATATTCATGGCCGTATGTGTTCTCCGGTGAAAAGAGGCCGAAGGAGGATTTATCGTATACATGTTCCGGTGATGGGTCCCAGTCGTATTTTGGCTGGGACGAATAAATAGAGGAAGTTGACCGACCCGGATGATCCGATGAAGAGCCTACTCGGGCTGAGAGCTCGGTGATGGCGTCCTTTTGTTGCTCGATCAGGGTTTCCAGATGGGTCAAGCGAAGCAGGATTTCAGCTGGAATATCCTGCACCCTATGGATGGTCACTATCTAGGAACCCTTTTCACGAGATGACGCTTTCTACCTGTCGCTTTCTTGATAAACACACTGAGCCCCCGCATCGGTGCAGAGGCCACACGTCGGCTTCTGACCATCGCACTTTCGTTTCCTAGTCTACATTAGTGACCGTTCGAAAAAGAGGAAATTAAAACTAACCGATGTCGACAGAAATTACATGCGATTGATGCACGCTTCCGCGGATAGTCGATGGGAGGGCGAGATTCAAATGATTTCATGTTTGCCTTGTGAGGAATGCGGAAGATCGACGTCAAAGGCTCACTGCGGGGTCGTCAGCAAACGCCAAAACTTAGCCCCTTAATAATCAAAGTGCTTAGCCCAGGAGGATCAACTCAGAAAAAGAAACAATTATATTAATTTACCGATAACATTTTACTCCTGCTAGTTGAAGCAACCGATCTGTGTGCTCTGGCACTTCCAAGGGCACATATCGGTTGCGAGGATCAACCTTGCCGTCCGGAAGATGCACCACTCCTTCCCGTATAACTATATTCTCATGTGGCCAATGAGTCGTTGCTCGGTAAGACTCAAAAGCTTCTTTCTTCCGCTTCAAACTCTCTTCGGTGGCTAGCTCAAAAGGGGCATATGATGCATAAATCACCGTTCGGATCGTGTTGCTGTTGACCGTTGGCTCTCCACCCCAATGCACAGTACGTGAATCCCACACGATCAAATCTCCAGGCTCTGCGAGCACCTTGGATGGTTTCATACCATGATCTTCAAACCACTGGATTTCTTCCTCGCTGAATAAGCGTATGTCCTTCTGCTCCCAGGTAGATGGGTCGGTCTCTGTGTCGAAGAACCTCTCGGTTACTGTGTTCGATCTTGGAAACACCATAAGGGATCCATCTTCGGGACCCGCTTGGCTTAAATTTATAATACCCTGAATACAGTGGAGTCCACGCCGCATCGGCGACTGGTCCACATGGGGCCAGGGCTTTTGAGCAGGCTTGTCTTGTCGGTTTGGCAAAGTGATATTCAGTGCGTCAAACGAGACGAGTAGCTCGTCGGTACCCCAGATCTTGGCGAATGCCTCTAATATCTTTGGCTCCATGCGGGCATCCCACATAAATTTCTCATGGGTGACGGAATACCCATTGAATGTATTCACTTTGCTTTGGACAGGCAAGTTGTCTTTGGTCCACGTGGAAGGATCATCAAGGTCAAGGGCCGTGTTGAAAGACATTAGCCAGTCTAAGGCTTTGCGCTGATAGGTCTGGGCCCTTTCTGGGTCAATGGCATTCTTGATGATCGCATAGCCTTGATTGTGAAGGTCGTCTCTCCAATCTCCATATGGACCACTTAGCCTAGCATCCTCAATTAGCAATTGTCATTTAGTAGCAGGCAGCGCAGGAAGGCTCACTTGAAAGAAGAGTTATTAAGAGGTGGAGTGGTGGTGGTGGTGGTAGTAGTAATAGTAGTAGTCGTAGGACTAGTCATGGTAGCTGTTTCTCCAAATAGAACTGTAAAGCTTTTTAGACTAAGACTTGCAAAATAATGGGAGAGTTGCTGCCTTTAAGTATGTGAAATGTGATCCATCATTTAAGGCCAGCACGCTGGAAATTCGCAGTATCTCTAAAGTCCAATCTGATGGCCTCTGGCGGGTAAGCGGGGGATCGACCCCGCCAAGTCACAAGAGCGGAGGTGTCTCAGACGGTCCGCCTAACCGCTATCCCACTTGATTGATTCTGAACCAATTAGCCATGGAAACGAATCAAAGGGAAACGTCCATAGGTTGAACTAAAAAGGTTCGAGGATGATGCCTCATAGCTATTCCCACAAAAATATCCTGATTACATCGGGGTCACTTATCCATACTCGTTTGGATATGTCGAAAGTTGAGAAATTATCTGACCGAAGAAGTTTGAACAGGTCCAAGCTAGAGTCTCAAAGCAATCCAGTCTTGCTTCTAAACGCTTATGGAAGTTGCCACCTGGGGCAGTAACACATCGAAATGGACCGCCATGTAGACGGTTCTCGGCACAGGCGCAGCATCTTCCGAGTTGCCGCATGCCACCTGCGCAAGCAAACAAAAAAGTCCTCATGCAGAAGACTGGGCAGATTTTGGATATGTTAACTAGTTCATCACTGCTCACTGCTCTTCTCTCTGCTTCCATATCAGCTTATAAATCAAGGCCTCTGGATATTGGAAGCTTTCTGCTAACAGGGAACCATCTAATGCCCATTTTCAGACTCAAACACTTTGTTATTCTCCACAGCCCCAGCACTAGGTTCTTTCATAAGCTCAAGCCTATAAGCTTCTGCCTCTTTCATGCTTATCACCGGGCCAAGTGCTCTCGGCCAGGTGTATCGGGCAAGCTTGTTGAAACCTGTCAATGCACACTATTCACAACCTCTGAGTTTTCTGTCGTCCAATCCTCCTATTGTAGAGAAAAATTGGCAGAGATAAGACGACGCGTCTATGAAGAACGATGAGAAATAGCGCGAGAAAGTGTTCCACACGGTGCCATGATAAACACCACTGGTTTTGATGTGATGTTTTTGTGTCTCGATGGTAAGGCCACTGATATCAAAACCTGTCCTAACTAACTTGGCAGTTACGACAAACACTACCTATGTACACAATCCACCAATACTAATTACGTTCTATGCGAATAGAAGAAGGTAAGTCTTCCAGCCTAAGAGATAGTACTAATAACACACAGAATATGTGAGAGTATTGACTTCTTTTCGTTATTTCCCGCTTTCATCCTAGGTCCCACCACCTTTTACCGTTGTGGACCTTCTGTAATAACAGCGTGATTGGAATATGAACCTGAAGCCTAAGTAGTTAGGATAACACTCAAGTTATTCTAGGAACTACCTGATCATCGAAAGCGTCAAGGACTCCGGACCTATTACGACAAGCTCGCCGTATCCGCGCATATCAGGCCTGCATGTCTACAGACGTATTTACAAGGAGGACAACCCAGACTTGACTCTTAAAGTGAGCATCAGCCCGACCTTGTTGATTGAAGCGGCAAGGACCTGAAGAGCCGAGCAATTTTCCGTCTGCGCGTTGCTTGGACCTGATGATTTGAGGGGTAGAGACGTGCGAGAGTTTCAGACACCATTCATGTGAAGATCAATCTTCGCTGGTTATTACTAAAAGTCATGGCTCTATAACAAGTGTTCATGGGAAAGTATACTGGTGGGTCTCGGCTGCTCCCGTTCGTTCCACTGTCGATCCTGTCTTTCTCTCGACGACACGTCCAACCGCGCAGTAGTCCTTCATTTCACCAAATTCATCGCCGGGGGAAGATAATGGATATGGATTGAGTAGCCCCATGTAACAAGGCATAGGTAACGCTCTGAGAATGCAGGGCTGGCTTCGCGAGGTCCTTGGTAAGATGAGATTGTGGGCCTAATCCTTTCGTCGTTTGTGCCGAGAGGGTGCTCCACAGCGAGAAAAGCCTTGGTCCGTTGCGCTCTAGCAAACAAGCTCTGGCTCGCTGAGGCACTTCTATGGTGTGGAACACTGTTGACATCCCTGTCGAGGATGCCTTTGAGAACTTAAAGCCCGGCCGTCGACAGTTCTATGCCAACTTTGTGGTTATTGGCAATTCATGTACCTTGAATGATGGAGAGCGCGCTAAAGACCGTTCACAGAATCTGGAAAGAATTGTGTTCCCTAAAATGGCATCTCTCCGGATGTTCTTTGATGGAGATGGAGAGAAGGGAGAACGTTCTCTTCCCAGACTGAACTGTCCCAATCTTCGTCGCATGACCTTCCAAGATATGGATATTGAAAACGAGGAGAAGGGCGACGACATGGGCGCTGACCAATGGGAATCAATCTTCTGGGACATTTCAGTATGTGCTTGTTCTGCTCTTGTCTTGGAATCCATGGATACAACCGGAGCTGACTGTTCTTAACAGACCAAGTACCCTAGTTTGAAAGAGTTGGAATTTCTTCAATACACTCCTCGCGTGTTTCCTCGTGCCATCCGACGCTTGAAAAGACGGCACCCCAACCTCCGCGACTCTCTTAAGAAGCTCAATGTTCACGAGACTAACATCTGTGTTGGACATGATTACACTGAGTATTGATTTTCACGGTTATTCTGATAAATCAGATGTGGAGGATCTTCTCCCATAGGAGAATTGAAGATGATGAATGAAACGGTCCAACTGGAGTATGCTTTTGTGCTAGGTCTTAGTATGGAATCAAAAAACGAGTCGGAAACCTGCCAGCAGAACATTCCACTAAGGCGTATGTTCGAAGAAGGACAAACCAATAGCAATACCCTTCCAGAACAAGATTGTTTGTCTCGGACATTATATTTAAATGTTCACGCAGTTCTATGATTTCTCTTCCCTTCACATATTTCCCACACTCGATTTATATCTCCCTTGTCCAAGACTTCCACTGTTCACAACTCATCCGCTCTCCTCAAATGGAATTCTCCATCCAGCCGGAGACCGCATCCCAGCGAGTCTTCAGGATCCCCGAAATCCTCGCAATAATATTTGCCCAAAATACTCGTGACGAAGATGGAGCGCCGTCCCACTATTCGGACTTACTGAGATGGGCACTCGTGAATAGCCGCTGGTATAGCGAGGCTATTCCCCTGCTCTGGGCTCGCCCTCTCGAGTCCCTCGATGTGACCATGGCAAAGGTTCAACCCGCACAACGTCAATACCACGTTAATTACGTGTCTTGGGCACTGGTGCTGTACCTCTCTCTGTCTGAAAAGGACGCCTTTGCGGAGAATGGTGTGCTCCATGGGATCGTGTTTCCTAGATTGATCAGAATCTTTGCAAGCATCCACATCCCGAAGCATCACTACCTTCGTAGACATTTTGGGTCTGGTACACTACATGTCCGGAGGCGTGTGGCTGAATTTAAGGGAGAGATCAATTTAGCTGTTCTCTTTCGGCCCATCTCGGTCAGTCATCTCTGGTCTCACCTCACTCTTAAATTACATTCACTGATTGCTATGATATGAACAGATCCTTATGCCCGCTCTTAGGGAGATAGCTCCCAGTTATGAATTGGCCTTCAGATATAAGGGAGGGGTCGCCGCGAGCCTCTGTGGAAAAATTCAGACTGCTCAGAACGATCAAAGCACAGTACCTGTAAACCTCCATTGGTTTATTCGAAGTGACTCGAACAAAGCACCCTCTGAAGATAAAACGTCTGGAGACAATGAGACTTGGATGATGAAAAGAATAGACATGCTCGCCAGGCTTTCAATGGCCACGATCAGTGACCAGCAGCAAGTATGAAGTTACTTGTCCACAGTGTAGCACGAGGGCACTTGACCTTTCAAATACCATCCCATTCTCAAAACATCAGAACTACTTTCGTAGAGTCCAAGCCCCTGGACGAACTCTAGATAGAAGAAGATCCAAATTTGCCCTGCGTATTTAGAGTCGAAGCGAAATGTATTTAGTGTAAACGATTTCATCTTCCGTGCCTTTCGTATCTTTGTCCTTTGTCTCTCAAGCGTCTCTTTTTCACAGGAGAATCTACCTTCTATATTTGTTCGTGCATATCAACCTGGACCACAATGTCTGGCAGCCAGGATAAAGCTTTGCCTGGGATGGGTACACCCTCCATCCCAGGCTCAGCCTCTGGCTCGCCTACCTATGTACTTGATTTCCTCTGCCACTTCTTGGCTTTCCATTTCCGTCTTAGTGCTCAGTCCTTGCCGCTTTTTGCTCACTGAGTAGAACTGAGCACGCCCCTTAGTATTACATAATCACCACGCTCGCTCACTGAGCATCACCTGATGGTTATATAAGCTGGATGACTCGCTCACTGAGCGTCACCTGAGCGCTCTGATTTGCTCACTAAGTAGCCTGATCTTACTCACTGAGCTTGACCTGAGCGCTCTGACTAGCTCACTAAGCACGACCTGATTATTATATAAGCTCAAGACTTTGCTCACCGGAGCGAAGCGTAGGGAGCAGCTAAGTCAGCAGCTCACCTCAATAAAATGCACCACGCTAGCCCCATCCAAATGCAGTTGTTCACAAGGACTCTTGACCGTTGTCCCCTCAACAAAAGGCTGGCGTCATCAATTTGGCGGTCGATCCTGGTTATTTCGCCTCCAGCTAAGAGGCAAATTGATAGTGGGGCTACATTCATTGGTTTTACTATTCTGCGGTTATACTACTATTCAACTCGCCGAGTCTCGCATTCTACAATACCGTCTCTATATAGTTGCGGAAAATATCCAGCCCTCAATTTTTGGTTCTATAATATCTAGGAATATCTCAGAAAACCCCAATTGAGTGGCTTATAAATCTAGTTTAGTGTTTAATTCTTATTTTTTAATTCTTTTGTATTTTGCTTGAATAACACTGGTTTATCGCTCTTGTTGCCTGCCCGCTTGCTCCTAGGAATACCACTTCAGCTCTAGCGACCTAGGTATCCGCAAAAATATTCTAGACTAATCGATTATGTCTACTGGGGTGATCTAGCTGCCTATAACGAAATTTGCGTCCCCTTATTTGTCTAACGTACTCTAACGTATTTAAACTAGCAATCAGAAAATAACTTATCCTAGCTGAAGTCCGAGAGGACTTCCTAGGAGCTCTAGACCTTTTCGTGCCACCGCAAACCCAAACTATCAAATACCATTGGGGCCCCAGTGTTGGGTCCGGGTCCGGGTCCGATATCTCGACCCAACCCCGGGTTGTGCGACAGACTAAACCTTCGTCCGTTTCCTATCATAATTTTACGATTTGTATACCATTACTTACTACCGAGGACGGCAGCCACCTTCAGGAGGGGGCACCTATCAGGCTATGGCTGGTCATATGACCTGAGCCGTATATTATCATTAGACTAGACATTATAATATCATTATCTTTCCACCAGCTATAGGCTTTCACGCAACAGCAATAGAGGAAATAATATCAAAAGCAAAAGCCACAACCACGCCGGGTCGACAGAGACGATCCGCTCCTTGGATAAGAATAAGAGCCCGGATCTAGCTAGACAATTGAAAACAAGATGACATAAAGCAACGAACTTCTCTCAGCGCGAACTGTCTAGCCAAATGATCATGTGCAAAGCAGATGCAAATGCATTCAAGCCTGCATAGCTGACTCCCACAACCTGGGAATCTGGTCCGGGAACCCTCTGTTTGGACCTCAGATCTTTGACGGAGATTTGGCCTTGCAAGATATCGGATCGCTCCCAGAGTGCTGGTACACGCTCAGAAACATTTGAAATCGTCGCCCCGGTCCAATAGTCCACCGTAGTTCGCCAGTCTTCGCCGGCCAAATCAATCTTAACCAACGGACGGAAGTCAACATCCTTGAAAATCAAAATGACCCCATCTGGGCCATCATAGTCCAACGCATACTTGAGTGAGGAAGTAGCGTATAAACCGGGTCCGAACTCGCTCTGAAGCGTGTATGAAGAGACGAGGGGCGCGAAGAGTGAGGCTAGGCTGACTATTGACGGACGTGATAAGCCCTTGTAAAGAAGATTGCCGCCAAGTGAATTGATGAATGTATTCATCAAATCAACGTAATTTTCATCACGGTTGTTCTTCTTTCCCTTCAGTTTTGTCTTAACGCAAGAAATAGTTGGCGGAAAAGATTGGAGGCGCGCAAAGGGGAAGACATCTTGAATCCTGTTTTGAGTAGGAGTTGTTGTGAGATTTGGGGGAATAAAGCTGGCATAAGAAAGCGCGGAAGCCTGGCGTCGGACAGGTTCTTCATAGATCTTGTCCATGAATGTTGCTGGTATCTTCCCTTCTTCAAACAAAATTGAAACAATCCAAAGACGCGGAGAACCCTGTGGGATCGAACGGTACTCATCTGTAAGAACATATGCGGGATCGCGAATGAGCTCTTCGAGCTCTTCCACCCCCTCAAGCCAAAAAAGGCTTGACAACGGTCCGATGAACAAGGAGACCTGCTCGCCATCCTTATATAGATACTGTGATATCTCTTCTGGAATGACACCGGGGAATTCAATTCCTGCAGCCCAAACAGGTTGGTAGTCGGTTGCGTACAGATCTAGTATATCTCTCTCGTCTCTCATTGTGAAGGTATTTTGGTCACTTCGAGTTTGAGATGGAGTTGGTGGCGAACGGCAAGAGCTCTTCGAGGTGGAGTCGTTATCACTGGTCAATGACGGTGGGGTTTTGGAATGTGGGACGCCTGGTTCGGTCTCGGCTAGCGGCAGTGGTGGTACAGCAATAGGAAGACTGATACTAGACGCAACTGTACCAGGGGAAAACTCCCGCTTTCTCTTTGAACTTCGAGCTTCCATTGTCAAGTAACAGAAAGGTGAGGTTGTCAAGGAAAAAAAAAGCCTTGGAAGGACAGAAATGGAAAGAGTTGTTGTGGTGGACGGAATTACGGTTATGAAAGGTTACCAGCGAAATTTTGCTGGATTACATGTATTATACCAGAACCTGTCAGGTGACCTAATAGTATACTCCCGATAAGCAAAAACATACACGTGACGTAATTAGCGTGTTGCATTTTATTGATGGTGCTTACCCAGGCCGCTCATGCCTACGCCCCGCAAAAAGGGCGGGTTTTGGTCACTGTATTCGAGCCCGCAGCTTTTGCGGGCTAGGTAGTAGTCTCGAGTACAGCGACCATCGAAGCCTTTTGGGCAGTAGAAAAGCATCGTTACTTTCAACAGAATGACTAAATCGGTCTCCTGGGCCAGGTCGTTTGGGTATACTCTGAATTAGACTAAGTGCTCATTAGAGGACTCTGAGCGGTCTCTGAGTAATCAGCGAGCATCCAATCAGACTCACTGAGTGCTCAGTGAGCGTTCATTGGATCTCACTGTTGAGTCACGTGGATATATCTGAGCAGCTCACTGAGTCGGAGCGCGGACTGAAATCTACTCAGTGAGCCTGGCTCTGAGCGCCCTCATAAAAGCGGCGGCAGCTAAGATAGGAAAACCCCACCCGGCAGAGGAAATCAAGTACGTATAGCTACCTAGGTATGATCCATCTTTATCTGATGGTCAAGTCTCTCGCCCTTCCATCTTATCACCGCAAGCTGTCATTCACAAATTACCTCCAAAGGCGAAAGCTACCCAGAAAAAGTCCACCGAGAAGCCTCTTCACAGGAAGGCTCCCTATCCGATACGATTATAGTCACGGCCGAGGTTACTTGGATCGCAAAATCGGCCAGACGCAGGATCCCCGGGAGACGACGAACCGATATCTGACTTGAGAGTTGAAGAATAGTACATATCGCACATAACATTTTGTCTCATCTTTATTCAATTTGGGTTAGTGTTCTCTCAATACTTGATTACTTTGACTACACTTCCATTTTCATATACAGTTACTCCACTACTCACTAGCTAATAATGTTTGATTCTAATTGAATCGATTGACCCTCTTGACAATAAGATTGTACAATATCACTTCCACCTCACATATACATTCATTCTTTATTAGCTCACTCATTCTCTATTGTACTACTACTATAATTCCATAGAAAAACAATGGCTATTCATCATGTAGGCATCCACTCGAAGAAGCAAAAGATTCGATGAAGCTCCTCTTCAGCCTTCATTTTTCCTTCTCTATCATCAACGACGGCTCCAATTCGCTCTCGACGAACTCTTCGCCCGCTCTGGTCGCGTGGCATCACCAAGAGAAATGCCGCTGAGCGAGTCTTCAACATCCCAGAGCTGGTCTCTGAGATTGTCCACTTGTAGGTCTACGGACTTGACGACCTTATGTACGAGAAGTGGCGGGGCACCGGAGGGAAGAAGCAGTGGATGAGGCAAACGAAGTTTCGGCAATGGACAATGGGTCGGGGTACCAAGCGGGAGCCCTATGTGGAGGACCAGGCGGGTTATCTCTGGCCGTTTGCCGCGCTCCACAGGGCGTGGTAGACAGAGATAATCCAACATCAACAACCCTGGAAGAACACCATGGGTGCGATGGACACGCTGGCCGTGCCTCGCTCACTGGACGTGATCTTTGCAAAGGTCCCCGCCCAATTCCGCCAACAGTACGCTGACCACGTTGAGCTGGCCTCGCTGGTCACCGTCGACACCGGGACGCCCGTGCTGCTGATGCTGCCCAGCGGGATGTTCGTTTCCCAAAGCTGCGGGTACTGAAATTGTGCGTGCGAGGGAGCAGTCGTGACTCTGACATTCGGACCCTTATGGATGGCGTGCATATACCACGCATCCAGGGCGAATCGGTCACCGTCCTCTCCGTCAGCAGCTATGGCGGAAGAGAGCCGGAATGGAGATGGCCTCCACGGGTTGCCGGAAGATTGGGCAAAGTTGTTCAGACGGATTTCGGTATGTTTCTGCCACGGCTATCTCGATAAAGTTTGTACTGACTCTTTCCCACAGGTTCTCTTTCCGAATCTCGAGAAAGTCGAGATAGGACACAAAGTCCTTGTCGCCGATAAGGTTGTGAAAAGCTTCTCTCGTCGGCACCTAGCTCTACGGACCCTTGAGCGGCGTCAGCTCGAGCGTTCAATTCTGGCCTTCCACCTCCACGAAGAGCCTTCTCGAGTTTGAAATTAATGCATTTGGGCCATTCCAAGGGTGGTTTGCGACGAACATTGCTTCGAAAATTCATATTATGGAAACGGTGGGGGAGGGGGACACAATTATATATACGGTTTCTACCCATGTGGAAGAATTGATGGCTTTGCCTATAAAAAGAGCTGACGATATGATGATGGAACGCTCTTTCTTCGCGGAACTCAGCCTCTACTTCTGTGTGGAGCCATACAAAGAAATACGGCATTTTGCCCCAATAAGAGGCCAATGATTGGTACCATTCCAAGCTGGCGGCATCAAATCTCCAGCCACAATGCTGCGGGGAGCCGGAACCTTTGAAGTACCGGCTCTTGGGCGAAAGCGGATCACGTTGTTAGCGAAGGGGCAATCATGAACAAATCCAAAGGGCGGATTGACGAGGATTCCATAAATTTGAGCCTCGTGGACTTGCCTCATTTCTCTCGCAAAACACCCTTCTATACAAAGCCGTTGGAACCCACCAAGGAAGCCACTCAAGGCAAACTTGAGGATGGTGCAAAAAATGGAGGCTCAAATTGACGGATACTTTGAGAAGACGGGCCAATCAAGATAATCCTTCGACGCTATCGACAGCAATTCAACTCGTCCATCAACCAAACAACGACATTGTCCAGTCCCTCACATCCCAAATGAGATAATGTGCGCTTCTTACTGGTTTGGTAGGATGTCTACGTTTGTGTGGGAGGTTACAACACAGCCGGATGCCTGTTGCGCTCAGGTTACAGCAAGGAGGGCCCATACCTGAGCAGTTGTCACCTGCTTACAATGGACAATTGAGGTGTGGCCTCGGCGCAGCTTCCGCAAACATCCGCACAAGGTCATGGCGAAACGAAGAGCAAGATACTCAGACAGGCCGGAAACGAAGATATCCACGCTAAAACAGAAAAGGCCGCTGATTCCACCACGATGGCGTGTCACCCTGAAGACCGTGGAGAATTCGAGCTGCTGATGGTGAAACAACTGCGAGCCGCAACAAAGAAAGCAGAAAGGAACCGGGAAAACGACTGGGTCGAGGTCTTTATGGGTGCAGAAAGATCTGGGACCCCAACAACGGCATCGATGGACTAGAACCAGTCGATCCTTCTGTCGGGGATGCCGAAATTTTCGCTGCCGGAATATTTTGCCAAGCTAGCCTTGGCTGTGGCACTTCGTGCAAGCGAAGAGGAGGACGGAAGGGTTAAGGTCCACCGGTCTCGTCAACGTTCGTGAGTTTGTGAGATCTCAACGGTGTGAAAAATGCTGTTTAAATCATGTAGTACACCCAGGCATGGACTTTCATGAGACGCGCTCGCAAGAGGAGCTGTTGAAAAGGTATGTCGGTCGTGCTCAGAAACAGATGAAATACGGCCAGCGCGCTAGGCCAGATGTCAACCTGCGTTCTTACTAGGCCCCGGACATCCACCCCCTCTTCCGATGATGTCCGATTACACGCCTAGGGATATTCTGTCAGTATCCCTCATACTGCAGCATCGATCCTACCGCTGGGCACACCGCGGCCACGCCCGTTCCTGGAACGCGCAAATACAATATTAAAGCAGCGGATACGGTGGCAAACCCGCTCCTAAACCCCAGCTGTGGTGCTGAATAATGATACTGCCCAGGTGTTGTCAACGGGCAGCAGATGTGTGGCCTGATTTTCTCGGAAGGTCCAGCTTCGTGACATGTTTGATATGCCGTTGAACATGCTACCTTCGGTTGTCTTATGAACACAGCCAGAACCCCCCGGAATCAACAGCTTACCTGGGTATGCCGGTCAATCGGACATCTTATAGATGACTCTGCATCAGAATTCTTCACGGGTGAGCTTATTCAAATCATGTTATTTGGCTAGGTGGTCATATTCTAACACTGCCAGTGGACACAACGGGTTGTGATGGTCTGTTAATCCGCGCACGAAGAAGTCTTTGGTATCTTGATCCATATTCTCAGCGAAGCGACCACCGTCTCACCATCCCACTCCAAATACCCCTCACCTGCATTCTTCACTGGATCCCATCTTGACAACACGGACTACTCCTGCGGCTTGCTCTGGTCCCGATGGCCAAGATAGTGGCGGCGACCAAAGTCACTGCCGTTTTCCAGAAAGCGATGCGAGAATCTCCGCTGCTAAGCAGAATGCGTTTGCCGGGAAGGCTCTGAGACGGCACGACTAAAGCCGATCCCACATGGTTCAGCATCTTCTATGCGAACAAACAGATTTCAAACGATTTCCTGTCTCGAATTCCCTCCCGGGTCTAAGTTGCGGCAATATCTCGAATGAGCTGCTATGTGACAAGGAAGACCAGCGACGGAGGCTATCAAACAATTCATGGATGGTTATTATACCTGGTCTGATGTCCAGAATGGCCGCTCTGCGACCGCTTGGGCTCAGTCTATGTTGCGTCTAGCGCGTGCTGCAGACATTACAGAGACCCTTCAACGACTCCGAATGGCATGGGCGCGTCTGGAACCATACCTACAATGAGACATTGCCGAGCCGGGCCCTCATTAAAGAGCCGGGTTCCAGACCCTGACAGCAAGTCCGATGAACGACCTGTCTACGGATGTTCAAACTTACACACCACTTTCCATCGCAGATGCTGCAGGACGAGTACAAACGCTGCCCATCAATGACATTATCGATATGAAGGATTTACAAGAGGGCGTACAACGTCAACATCCCAATTCTCGGGAGATTCTCGACAACCATGGAACTCCCCCAGGTATTCCAGAAGCACCTACCCGCCCCGTGTGCAGTATTTCACGGTACCCAAACTCTTCACCAGCACTGTAGCAGCGGTTGGACATCGGTTATCCGCCAAGCAGACACCTCAGTGATTCACCAACAGCCGCGCTGCAACTCGTGAAGTACCTTCCGGTGACTCAGGTACTACCGAATATCATGTTGGGCATAGCTTCCTCGAGGATATGCCTCTATCAATTAAAAGGTATCGATATCAAGGGAAGGAGCACTTCCTTCGCACTAGAGACCTTGAATTTGATCGTTTCGAGCGTTCAAAGCATGACACGTCAGAGTACATCCTCTCTGATATCGACGCTAATACCTTCGAAAAAAAGATTTCCTCGAACCCAGTATCGAGGGTAATTCCTTCAGTTTCGACTACTTTAATACTGAGGAAAATCTACTGTGGATCAAAATGGAAACTCAAGAGCATGCCCAGACTATAGCTAGCCTTAGTGGCAGAGTCAATAACCAGTTGAACCCCGGAATCGGCTAGCAGGCAGCCATAGAACGCGCCGAAGCCCCAAGAGGCGTACCAGGCCCAGATCCCAGAGCCTAACCACTACATGTCCCAGGACGCCTTCTTCTCTGATCTCTCAGCCTAAGCAATGTACAGAATGAAATCACGCCTTCCGACACAATCCATGGGAGAATCTGAACACCGCAAGAGCCATACCGCCCTGCACATCTAGGTAACAGCTATAACTTGGTCTGAATCGGACCATCTGCTCTTTTTCTCTTATCAGAATATCCAATCAAATCCAATTTATAAATAAGAGGGACACAAGCTCCATAGAGAGGAGATATCTCCACAGGTAGTATATATACTTTTCCAACGCCGAAAGTGCAGGACATAACCTGCGTTGACTCTAGACTGAACCTCCGAAAACCCAGACCCTGGGTAAAAACCAACACCGCTGATTCGTATACCAAACTCCTTTGTATCATGACGCGAGAACGCAAAGGACAACCGTCTCAAATCTCCTGCGCATCCAATGCCCACACCTCCCAATGCTGGAGAACGTCCCATCCTACCCGGCGCGCACGCCGTCTCCACACAAAACCATCATCGCTCAAGGTGTGCGGGTTGCAGCCCCAGACCTGAGAATCCTCACTGTCTTCGGGCCTATTGAGGGTATCCGGGCAGCCGGGCGGTGGTCTGGGAGTTTCGCTATCATCTCGATCGCGTGATCGTTTCCCTAATGTTGATGGCGGCGCGCCGGGTCTTGTCCCGGGTGGATTGGGCCAAGAATAGATATGTGTTGTCTGTGGATCGGGTGACTTATGGGGTACGGCAGGCTGATATGGTGTGCTGAGTCCAACGCCCTTGGTACCTTGCGTGGGAACAGGGCTGTCTGTGGTGGTCTCCGGGGATGCATTATCCTCATTTGTTGGTACTGGGGACTCTTTATTGGCCCCTAATGGGATGGGGGTTTTGTAAAACTCCTTTAGCTCCCAGGCTTTCCAGCCCATGCTGACGACCTTCACGTTTCCGTAGACTTGCTTGTCGGCAAGGTCGTAACTCAACATTTCGGTCAGGATCGCGTCGTCGATGTCCACCACTTCTGAAAGAGTCTTGGCATTCGCGAAACTTTCTTGCACCATTTTAATCGTTTGGAATTGTACAGATGGGTATTTCTTCAGCGCAGAACTTGCAGGAGCATTTGAGGCCTGTCCAGAAGTTTGGGGTATGAGAAGCCGGATCGCTCTCAACTTGCGAAGGAATGGTATTAGTAGACCCAGTGAATCCATACTGGAAAATTCAGTGGCAAGGGCGAGCTGCTCCAAATTCGGACAGCTATGGACGAGTCGCGCGACCATCCCGGTAGAGAGAGGCCATTTGGATGGGAGAAGCAGGTGGCGCAATGTCGCGCCATGATTTGTGGTAATGTGTGAGAGGTAGATGTCTCGCATGTTAGCCATAGCATTGAGCTGGCTAGCTGGCGAAGCAGAAGTAATAGGAGAGTTGGTTGTGGTTCCGCTGGGCGCACCAGACAAAGGGTGTTCGGATACTGGCGGCGTGAGCGCCGATGAGACCGCGCCTCCTCCAGGTCGTGGGCAATTGAGGAGGTCACTTGATTCGGACGTAACGTTGACGAAGTATAGCCTCTCGAGTCCAGAGAAATTCCCAATGAACTCCGCGTTCCGTTTTGACACTGCATCCATCCGAACGGATTTCATGCGGAGCTTGGCGTGTGGGGGAACTGTCGGCCAGCTGTTCTCGACGAACGTGTTGACCAGACTAGGGCCCTCAAGACCACTGAGAAATGTGACATCTTCGACGGTAGTCGGGTCAAAAGCGAAGCCAAAATCATCCGTGTGGAAGGCATACAGATTCTGGAAAGACATCTTCTTAACCGCGAGGGGCTGCTTGCTTGCAATCAGCTTGCGGAAGTAATCATGCAGCGAGACGCTAGGCTCGTGTGCATCTCGCATCCGTGGCGACCAATGTAATTTCAATTCACGCAGTTTCCTACTTTTAGAAAGAAGAGTCGCAATATCATCCGGGTAGCATAGCGGATCAATATCGGTGATTTTCAGACATCGCAAATGGGGCATACCCGGAATCACGAAAGTGGGCTGTGGATGACGACTGGACGGAAACCTGATAGTCAGGGACGTGAGCTTCGGCAGCTGTGTCAACCCCGTGGAAACAGTGTCGAGCATTTTGGTGTTCAGTTCCCAATGGAAGCTTTCCAAATTAGTCATGCGATCTATGGCAGCGCGGGCAGCGATGTTCAACAACATCGATGCGTCGGGCACCCGGCCAACTCGGGCATGCTCCTCCAGCTCGTGGTCCTTCCATTCCCCTCGTAGTGTCATTGATCGTACTAGCGTCGCATAAGATCGTGTAATAATTGCATTTAGCCCCATCGTGAAGGGACTGGCGCTCCCGATTCCTTCTGGTTGTTCGTCGCGATAACGGATCTTGTCGTAGGAGGTCAGCGTTAGGCTGCGGTATAGCTGTGGCAGCGCCATATAATTGAGGACCCGACATGTTCGACATAGCCGGGCAAGATCGCGTGTGTCGTCGACCTACGGCATGTTAGATATTGGAGAATGAGTCGTGTGGAGCTCTCTCACATGTGACACAATCTCCGCGATGAGGTTCAACGGCAGAACCATCAACTGGGCACCGCCAGGCGGTTCCGTTATGCTCGCTCCGAACATGTTTCGATTGACGGTCGCCATGATGCGACGCCAAGGTAAGATGTCACATAGGGATACAAAGAATATGGGGAACAGGCACCGGGATCGCGAGTTTCCGAGTGAAATTTCGTCTCCACTTTCGTAAGCCAGGGTGCTCACTTGGTAAGCCACTCGATCACCGGAGCCAAGCAGAGATCACCGATAGTCACCGCCAGAGCGTATACAGAGTACGGTGTATAGGAGTAAGAAGTACCTAAATATGCAATATTATATTCAATTTCAAAATTATAATGGGTATCTTTCTAAGGATGAACAGATTCCTCCTAACACCTTTCCAATAATATCAAATCCATACTCCATGAAAATGACCCGAACACCAAGAAACTGTCAGGGGTCAAGTTGCTCAGCCCCAGCCATACTTAAATCTGTATCCCACACGCTATGTCCACAGCCTCATGCACAAAAGTGGCGTGTTTATGAAGAGTTCTGACCATGCTGTTCGTTCAAAGGCCCGTGCCCGTGAGATGCATCGGATGGCCCTGCATTCTGTTCCGCTGACTCATCGTTTCTTTCTTCCGAGTACGTCGTATCTGTCCAGCTTTGTTGGTCGTAATTTGTGACATGGTTATCCAGAGTAACGTCCTCGTTGATCAGGGCCGCGGCTTCTGGGTCATAATGTAGGACATAATCCCCGCCTCCTCGCTCTACGTCTGCCTCCGTCCATGGAGCAGACGCTTGTGGTCGAGAAGGAATCACCCGTATAGGTAAATTGGGACGACTGGAGGGCGTTTGGTGAAGATGAGCGGGTTCTATCGGCCGGCTCTCTCCCGGTGGCCGGGTGTCCTCCAGCAGTCTGTTTTGCGGTGACCAGGTGTGCTGGCCGCGGCGACGTGCTGGAATAACGGTGACTGGTAATGAGCCATCAGCGTTTTGTGATCCGGTGCCCGGTCGGGCTTTCCGATGGAGAGAAAAGAAGTGATCGGCTCGATACCGGGCAGCCTTGGTTTCGGCCTCGGCCTCTTCCGCTGCAGCAGATGGTCTCTGTTCTGAGAACTCTTCTCCAGCTTGTGCGGATGCTACTTCTTTTGGCAGAGATGCACGTCGCCTCTTGAATGGGTGCAGAAGAACATGCCATCGCGGATCGGCTTGCACGATCTGCGGGGATTGCTCTCGGGTATTTTGAGCAGAAAGAGAATGACCATTTGTATCAGAAGTATGTGGCTCCCCGCCTTCCAGTTCCTTGGTTTCGTCCAATTCCTCCTCCTCGTGCATATTTGGCATTGCGACTGGAGGCGTAGGGCTAGCCACTGAATGATACCGGACATTGTACACTGTGCTTGCTGCACTAGCAGTGTCAGCACGGCTGATCGGTGTGATGGCCGCGGGGGGTGGAGTGGGCCGGTTATCGTTTGGGCCCCGCGGAGCCGACGCAGCGGCCTGATTATATGGTGGCGCTCCGGCTCTTTTGTTTCTATTGCCGCGAGGCAATCCAGCCCGGGCTCGTAGAGGTCGATGGGCTAGACCCATCACCCCGCCCCATCCAGACGATGCGCCATTGCCGCCACCTTGGTCGTGTCCTTGAGATGAGAAGCGTGGCCAGTCGACTTCCTCGGACGGAGTGACTTCAAGCATTTCATCGCCGTCGAAAACCTCTCGCCCCAGAATCCCGTCTTTGGTTTCATCTCGTTCCAGCGCTTCGATGCGTTCCACCCACTCCCAAACCACGACACTGGCCGCGGCAGAGCCAACCCATCGAATATAGGTACCCCAGCCAGCAATTTCCGGCTTGGCAATATCCAAAACAAAAAACACGACGGGTATCAAAATGGCGCATAGCGAGAGAAGAGCCACTAAGCAGATATTCCGCATCTTGGGGTGGAAAAACGCGTATCGGTGCTTAGATATCGAGTAGAAAATCACCCAAGCAGCATAGAGAAGGTTGAGCGACAGCTCGAACAAGTAGCTCAGAGCAGGAATGGCATCCTCATATAGCCTGGGCCGTGTCGGAGAGTTCCTCGCCAAAAAATTATCCAAAATACTGAAAGTCGTATCCAGCACAATCAACGCAAACCCAGCCCATTTGATCATAACTTTTTCCTTATGTCGTGGAAACAATCGAATCAACGTCTGAACCTGCGCAAGCCACAGAAATGTGCTCGATATGACGCGCACGATGCGAATTTCCATTCCGTCAATAACCTCCTGGGAAAGCGCTTCCGCATCGGAAAATCCATACTCATATTGCCGCTCAGCGACTCGGAAGGAATCGACCGTGGCGATAGTCAACGAGATCGCAACCAGTATCGCAGCCACTTTCTGTAGCCATGGTCGTCCGCCGACTCCGACCACCGACGAGTTCCCGCTATATGAGCCGCTGATCATCCCATGGCGACCGAGGAAATTAGCGCCGCCGCCGGGGCCGCCGACATAGAATGTGCGCGGTGTGATAAGAAGGATTATGACGAGTAGATAGCTAACGACGGTAGCACAGCCGATGGCATATAGTTGTGGGGTAATGGAGGAATAGAATGGATCGCGGGTATCGAGGACGGCGGAGATGTGAACCTCGTCGGTTGGGGAGCCTGTGCAAACAGGCTCGAAGACGGCATTTTCACTGAGGGTAATAGCATATGACTTGTTGAGATATACGAGTCCTATAGAGAATTGCATCTCGCAATTAGACACGATTCCAGGAGGAGCCTCCCGATACCAAGTCTGCGACCGGCGGCCTGCAGCCTGGCCAAACGAGTAAGGCGTTGAGGAAAAGGGGAGACCACATACCATTACTAGGTAAGACAACAGGCGTACACCCGGGCGAATAAGTCTTCGTCGTAGTCGGTGTTGGATTTGCCCAAATCTGGCGGGGGAGCAAATGCAAGTCATTTTCCATGATCAGACTGGATATGAACGGCGCTCGAATCGCCGTCCCTGGAAATGTTCATATACCGACCAGTTTCCACCGATGCGCCCGTATCACAGACAGTTCACTGGTTAGACTTCCATTCTTGACTCTGATCGCGTACAGACGTTGCAAGATCGAAGACCGGGGGCGATTAATGTTGCGAGGTGAGAATTGGAGGAAGAGCGACGGCGGTGTGAGAGATTTTCGGGGCCACGAGACGAGAGATATTTTCTGTTTTGTGCCACTATGAGAGAAAAGCGAATATCAGCAGATCATAAAGACGATCGTCTACAACATTAAGAACGTTGAAGGAATTAAGGTGGAAATCTGGAAGGGTCCGCCCATTTCCAGGCTCGGCATTGGCTTCTCCACAAAATCCCTGACGCTAATCGTCGCGCTACTGTTCTCTTGCTAAAGCCACCTCACGGTTTTTCACCAATATATGCATGCCCATTATATTGATATGTATAAGCTCAGCTAAGTCAAGGGCCAAAAAAATTCACTATGTCAACTCGCTGATCGAAATCCAACATATCTATCATCCATGTATCACATCGCTCTTCGCTGTACAACCATTCATCACACATAGGAATCACCGATATCCCATGGGTACCATCTCATCAAGAGATTTATGCCTGAGCGGCGAAGCCAAGGCGAGGGCCTTCCGCGTCGAAAACGACGTACTGGCTCTTGAGGAAGATATCACCGAAGATGGAGAAGCCAATGCCAGAGTTGCTCTGGATACCACCGAAGCAGCTGGAGCTACCAGACGAGACGGGAGCGTACTTGATGTGCTTGCCGGGAACAACGGCATCGTAGCTACCAATGGTCACAGTGAAGTTAGGAAGGTCGGCGTCGCAAGGGAAGACATAGCCACCAACGGAGGGGTTGTTCTTGGCGCCGTCAACCTCCTTGTAGTAGGCGGAGACAACAGTGTCATCAAGCAGGAGGAGGGTAGTTCCAGTATCTATATGGTTCAAGACATCAATCGTGCTGAACAAAACATGGATATCCACACAAGGAAATATGTAACTCACCAGCAATGCCCTCGATAGAGGGACCAGCAGAACCAGTGCCGACCTTATAGCTGTCGGCGGTGAAGGACCAGAAGCCTTGGGAGTTGTCGACGTCGGTGTAGGCTAGAGATCCGGTGAACTTCTCCTTGTCAATGTAGCCAAAGTCGTAAGTGCCAGGGGCGCCGTGCTTGAGAGTCACGGCAAACAGCGGCTTGTCAAGATCGGACTTGACGGTGTCGAAGAAGGTCGTCTGGGGCTTGGGGCTGACAGTGTTGATCGAGCTGAAAGCCAGACCCAGCAGGCCATCGTTGCTCTTGTCCTCCACGAACTGCTGGCTGATCTTCTTGGCAGCCTCGACGGCTTGGCCAGTGGCCTTGACTCCACCAACGGTGACGGTGTCCTTGTAGACATCACCACTGGCACCGCTGCCATCGCCGTATGAAATTGACCAGCTAGCACCTGCCAGCTTCTTGCCGGAGCTGGTAACGTCATAGACGTCGTGGCCATTCTGCTCCGCAGAGGAGAGCTCGGTAGAGAAGACCCAGCTGTATGAACTGTCAGTTGTTGCTCTAGCCAGTCGTGTTATCTCAACCAACTTACAGGTCAGCAGAACCAGTGTCGAAGTCCAAGTTCAAGGTAGACTCGCCAATCTTGACTGGGGTGAGGTACTCGACGTCGTTGTCCTCAGGCGTGGTAATGGCAGAACCGCTCACGGCAGCAGCATGAACGTTGGCCGGCACAGTAGCACCATACTTGGCTAATGCATTGGCGTATACACCAGGCAAGTTGACAGTCCTGGTGCCGGTAACAGTCTTCTGCACCTGGTTCACACTGAAGCCCTGACGGGGGCTCTTGACCGGCACAGCCGCAGCTGAGGCAAGGGCCGAAAAGCAAGCGAGAGAGGCGGTAACTTTGCTGAAGACAACCATAGTGATGGTTCTATAGAAGAATGAACAGATCTAATGCGAACGAAGGCGATGCAGGAGAGGATGGATTCCATAAACAGCTGGAGGCAAGACCTCCTTTATAGCTTTTCTGATACATACTACCCGCCGGCGTCCGAGAGCAGAAGGCATCAACAGGGCTGTCTATCGCAACATCAGGTAGAAGGTGATAGTGCTCTTCCGGGAAGGAAAGATGACGATCCTGCAAAATGCAATCAAGTCGAGGAGAAACTTGGAGATCGTCACGGACGCCATCGGCTATCCAGGATAGGACGACGGAGTCCGCCAAGCAGGCGATTGAGGGGTCAAGTCCGAAAAGGACATAGTGACAGGGTCTCAAGACGCTAGATAGTATCGAATAGACATGATAGGACTAGCGCGGCCAGCGCACGGGGGTGGGATATGTATGATATGCGGCACAAAGCACAATGCCCAGGGAGCTTGGTTGTGACAAGCTATCTAAGGCGCACCACGGAGAAGTCCGGCCAAGACGAGGCGTTGTCTTGGGAGACTGCATGTTGGCATTCATTGGGTGAAGACTAGTCGATCGCCATACTTGGCCATCCTTGTGCAAGAGGACAATAGGTTACCATTGGGTTAACCGATAGGGATGTACTCCGAGAGTATATTAGATTGTCTTTTGGCATTGCCAGTCACGCTGCATGAAGTGATTGTCTAGAATTATCGACACTGAGAGCCCTGACGATCATTGCCCGTTATCTCCACATCGGCCAATCATCTACTCGAAAGCACCAACAAGGTCACATCGCTCCATTAGGGTAATATAGAGGCTTCATTGGATGAGACACATTCTGTGGGTGAGCCTTTTGGGTTTAATCTGTCTAGAAATGATGTCTCTCCGGGATTATTCTAGGTCTGCTACGGAGTAGTTCTCAATGAAACGAGAACAGTTATAATCTCCGACGGGGATCCGTTCCTGCATTGCATGCTCTACCAATCCCTGCAAGGAACATCACTGTCCAGTCCACGATGTCAGACAATGTGACCCTTCACGGAGGATGACCAAATAGCGCTTATCGCCTGCACCGAAGGCATCGAAGGATCTAGCGGCCGTCGATATGGCGATCGGTTCATGATGAGATCGGCAATAAAACAAAACAGCAGACCCTAATTGGCAGAGATAATTGCCGTGCATGCCATCAAAGGCATTGTTGCTTGCAGTGTCTATGAAGTGACTCTCCAGGGCTCCAATAGTCGCTTATTTACCCTATGATGAACTACCTAGGTAGCCACAGTAACCAAATATGGCAATGATCTTTACTATATTTACACCTTTTCTCAAGCTTAAGCAGTTCACATAGTCAGGACTATTATAAAGTCAAAGCCACCCGAAAGCTTCAACCTCCGCGGTCCAAGAGCCCGAAATATCATGTGAAAGTCAGCCCTAGAGATCAACACTACAAGGTTAATCCTGCATGAAACCAGAGACCCCGCTCATAATATGCCGACGGACACCGCCGGATATTATAGTGATTCGTAATGGTAGCACCATATGAATCTATTGACATCGACTCGTCAAGCCATCAAGGAATCGGTTTCAGGCAAATTACGGCAAATTATGTACGGGGTACGGATTAAACAGCCAAGAAATAAGAAACGTCGTGCGGATCACGCAGGGGTATATAATTTGAAGCATCAGAAAAATAAATATGAAAAATGGGCACAGATCATGAGGTTAGACTCCAAAAAGTCCCCAAAATCAAAGCGTAAGACTCAAAGAATACCAAGCTATTCGTAATCATCATTATTTTTCGTCAAAGGTACTGAGACGATAACCCGGCCCCAGTCTCACCCTCGCCGTTAGTGTTTGCATCATACCCCTCATTGAGGAGTACCTCGAGCATGTCAAACTCGCCAAGCATGGGTCCAGTCCCACCAAGACCCTGGTCAACAACTCCAGTGGAACTGTTGAAGAATTGATCAAGGGGCAGAGCAAACCAGTCCGGAAGCGCGCCGGAGGTAGAGTGGTGGCTGTCGCCCATAGGTTGTGATGAGGCGACATGGTTTGGCGATGATCTGTCCATATCATTGGGGAATGTCGAGTTTGAATCGTAGTAGTTGTGATACACGGACGGCGGAGGCGGCATGAAGGATACGTTGAGGTTGGATGAGTTGATCGGCTGGGCAGGGATATTCGCCAGTGGATCATGCCCCGACACCATCGGGTGACCGGTGCCAGGAGTGTCCACATATCCTAGGCTCGGCCCGCCTGACGTCGTATCATGACTCTGACTAGCGGACCATGGTGTACTCGGGCCCTCACGACGAGTTGTTAGGTGCTCGCGCGACGGTGAATGAGGCCGAGAGCCTGTGACTGAGGTGCGATCATGTCCTTCTCCGTCTGCGCCCCGGTCGTGCGGCGCAAAGCGCAGAAACCGCGTCCGGATGCTGCTGGTGAGAAGCTCGAGAAGCCGGGCTACAGTGTTGCTGAGGTGCACATCATCTACGACATAATTGCGCAGTGCCTCCACCGTCCGATCCTGCAGGTCTAGAGAGACTCGCACATCGTCTTCTCTAGCACCCAGCGTGAAAGTCTATAGCTAAGGTTAGTATTATACTTGCGGGGATTTCCGCCAGAGACCATACCTTCAAGATGAAGATCATTCCAGACAAGATTCGGAAAAATGTCCGAATGGGTGCGTGTCTGAGACGACCTTCGGGGACCAGGCCTTCCAATACTGTCTGTAAAATTTTGCGCGAAGAATCGATGACTTCCTGGATATAATGCTCGTTGACACGGTAGAGTTCATTCAACGTTTGGAACCAGCTACTGCTGCTATTAGACGGCCCCGACCCTGTTTGGCCATTCTGGGTCTGATTATGACTCTGAGCGGACTCATTGGACATGGTAGTCCATCGATCGACTACGGCTTGTAGAGCGAGGGAATTGATATAGAGACCTGATTCCATATTAGCTGTTATCCTTCAGCAAATCCAGCTGCGTCAACTTACGGGTGTATTCAAGCTCAATAAGCAAGACGCTCCGCATAGCCGGTGAGACTTCTTTTGGTTAGCTTTCCTGCTTTCCTATTCCCAACCAACGAACAGTTGACTTACGATTAACACTGTCCAGCTGCTGCTGGAATTCCCGTAGATACGGTTGGAAGCGGTCGATCTGCTCACGATATCTCCCAGTCCTGATCAAATCCATCGTCTGATCACTGGATGCAAACAACAAATGATTGGCTTGATAGACAATTTTCGAAATGCTGATCCAGCAATCTTGCATCCGATCAAGATTGGCGTCAGCATCCTTTTTATCAGCGGACGTCGGCGTGATATCCTGCCCCCATTGAGGCAATGGAAGCATAGAAGGGATCCCTAGACGTCCACTACTGTGAGTAATAAACACAAGAATCAAACGCCGTAGTCGACGTTTCCGTGTTTGCTCGATTAGCGACTCATTGGCCGCCTTGGCATCTCCTTTGGGGTCGAAGACGCCGAGTTCAAAAGCCAGAGCTTGCGCCGTACTCAGCAGCATCCATGACATCCGGTCCGATCGCCAGGCCGGTTCCAGCCATTTCTGAAATGCGACTCTTCCCTCTGAGCCTTTGCTAGTATTCTCGCCGTCGTGGTCCAAGTGGTAGTCGGCCCGACCGTGTGTTTGGGGGTCTATATCCAAAAGAGAATTTTCATCGTCACCCGGTGGAAAGTGCAGGTTTCGTGGGTGCCACTCTGTAAGAAGTAGCATAGCTTCCACAGTGCCCAACGATCGCAACTGCCCACTCACACTACCTTTACCTGACATCGATGAACTCAAGTCAAGTGATCGAGGTCGGCCGATACCCGATGTTCCAGGGTCAAATTTCTCTTGGCCCCAAAATAGACGTTCTATCATGCTGCGTAGATATGCCCAGAGACGGTCGTGGATATAGAACGCTCGCGTATTCGCACCGTCGCCCTTGGGTTTCAGGTGCCTAGACGCGATAGTGAGGATTGTAACCGCCAATACCGGCTCATCGGTAAGCAATGTGCGGTGCGTAGAGGGATGAGAAAAGTCCGGGATTACAACAGGGCTCATCGGCGCGAGGTGTTCATAGTAATATCCCACATAATCCATGCCCTCATCCACTGTAAGCCAACCGGCACGGACGAATCGCAATCGCGACCAAGCTCGGATGGCGTCAAAGCATGCTGGCTCTGGGGGAGGGTTGTTGACTGGGCTTGCTCTTTGAGGGTCGGGATCAGCAATCTGGGGATCTACCGGCCCTGAAGCACCGGCTGGGAAGTATGTAGACCCGCCCACAGACATTCCTGATCGAGGTGTCCGCACAAAGGACCCACCCAAGCTTCGAGGCGAGCTACCTTGCGGTAGAGGCGAAGGTCCTGAGTTGAAAGACGAGACAGACTGCCGTGCAGCAAGCCGATTCTCGAGGCTCTGGCGGTTGAGGTCCTCTGTCCTACCCGCAGCTTCAGAGAGAAGATGCAAAGCGTCGTGGGTGTTTGTGATTGCAGGCGACAGCAACTCCACTGCAGTGCGATTCATCATCGGAGGCCCTCCATAGCTTGGTGGCGCGGGGCGTTCGCTAACGGGATATGTGGGAGCTTGTGATGTCGGCACACTAGGCGTGTAACGCGGGGCTGGAGGTGCTGGAGGTGCGTGAGATGCAGAAGGTGCCTCGGACCATCTTTGTTGGGCAATCACAGCTTCGTGGTCGAACTGAGGTGGATCGGAAGGCGCAAATGGCTGGCCTTCGACTGGAGTCTCATTCTTGGCCACCTCCCCAATCATCATTCGCTTGTCGCGATGGAGGATCGCCGCTGCCTCCACTTCATCTTCCCCAGTATCGGAGGTCTTGCGCTTTCGGCGAGTTGCTGAAAATTCACATCGTTTACTTTCGCGACGACATCGAACACAGGGCGGGGGGCGAGGATTATCGACACCTTCAAGTTTTTGTGATCAGTCAGGCCACAGAATAATGAAAGAGAATGGGGTGCGCCATACTTCCTAGGTCACACTTGAC